TAGATAGATAGATAGATAGATAGATAGATAGATAGATAGATAGATAGTAGTGTATATCTACACATACACATATTACACATATATATTGTATATATATTAAAGATAGCAGAACAGCAGAACCATCTGTTTGAAGAACATCTAGTGACTGAGGATCTGCTCAGAATTGCTTTCACTGTCAGGAGTCGCTCTTGTTTTTGCAGATGTCTGTATTTGACAGTACATCAATTGTGATGATGATCCAGATGCAACAAGAAACTGATGTACTAGATATGATAACTAAGTGTCACAAGACTTTGTGAAATTGCATTATACAGGTTGCCACAGTCTGCATTACGTGGTTGGAGGTTGATGGAGTTGTACACATGACTGTTAAGAAAAAAACAACCTAGCCTTTTTTTCTGAGGTTGCACCACTGTTTTCACTTTCTGTCACTTTCCCAGGTTCTCTCCCTAATTTTTCTCTCTGCCTTGTAGATTACAAAACACTGGAAAAGAAAATCAAATAAGCCAGAAGGAAATTATTATGTATTTGAAAAAAAAACATTAAAAGCCATCATTATGCATGGCTGTTGCTGCTACCAGGAATGACCTTCTATATTCTTTGTGTTGCTCTGGAGTTAAAGAAACCGTGCTCTGAACATACTCTACTGTTTCAACACCGTTTGATTGACAGTGGGATCAATTGGAGAGCATCTATACTTGGTGTAGGTTTCATCTTGTAAAATAACTGATTAGGTCATGCATTAAAAAATCAAATGGGTAATGTCTTGCGTTAAAACAGCAATACTGGATTATAACACGTCCCAACAAGAATTATCTTAAAAAGTAGATCAGACAGATTGACACCCTCGAAGAGCATTTGTTCTGGTTATAAATGTTCGAACAACTAATGAGGTGTTGCTTGATGTTGAAAATAAGAACGACAACAATGGTGAGAAGGTTGACATGACAGACTGAACTAAGCGACCAGTCTTGATGCAGTGTACAAAGAAGTGGACGAGAAACAATCAGAGGCTAAGATATGTGCCGCAAGATGGTAATTCTGCCAGCCTGTGGTCCTGAGTGCCATCTGCTGTACTGTTAGGAGAGCACGATTAAAAAACCCTCTGCCTCACAAGCTGGAAATGTCATCAGTCAGACCATGAGGACACTTGATTTTGCGAGGCAAAAGACATCAGAGAAGAATTTTCTCTGTGTCATGTTATTCCAGCCATACGATTGTCGGTGTTACTGACAATGAAAGTGGGTTTAAATGTCTATGTGAGTGAAAGCATATGAACGGAGAAAAGCAACACATATCATCACTGATGAGTGTGATAGAGCAAGAAACATCCTGTCCTACTCTGACAACTTATGAATAAAACTTATAAGAATAATAAAGCCCTTGCTGAGCTGCAGTCTTATTAATGATCAGAAAGAATGGACAGCCCAGAAGATGGGTTGTCACACTTGTCATGCATTATTCTGTCATCGCCAGCTGTTAAAGAAAAATAGTCCCTTTTAGATGGGCTCTTGTTTGGTGAAATTGTATGTGAGCGAACACAACCTACCTGTTTTATCTGAACTTGGTTTAGTTTCAGTCCATTTTTATTCCAGTTTATTTTTCACAACAGAGTCAACACCTTTGATTATTGCTTTCCTTCATTGTGCTTCACTTTGATCAACCACAGATAATCTCTGATCTAATTTAACATTTGAGTGAAAATAATCTGATACTTTAATTATGGCGAGAAAGACAGGCGTAACATTTCACTGAGCCGCTTCAACTCTGAGGCTCCAGAATCTATTCATTAGGACCTCCCGAGAGGGAACTAACAGCTCCCATCCACTCTGGGACTCAGTAAGAGAAGGGAATTGGAGATCCATCACACTTGTTACTGAGATTATTTAATGGGCTATTTTCAGCCCTTACTTTGTAAAATTATCCACTTACCCAGTACCCTACTTTCCAGGAACTTTTTTGTATGTTTGAGGATCAAAACTGGAGCATAAGCAGCAGCCGTAACATGTCTGTGGACAGATCTCATTCTGCTTATTTCTTCTGCCTTCAAGAAAACATCCAATTGCCAGAAAAGCATTACTTTTAGCACGTTTAGCAGCATGTAGGATATTGAACCTGTTAAAACTTGAAACCCATCCATCCATGAAGGAGGAGTTGTCTCCTTCAACAGGAAGTTCCTACTTGGATCACATTAAGTATGAGCCTTGTCTTTGTTCATTGGTTTGTCTGGATAAACAGGTCACACAGCAGATATACAATAACTCCATTTTTTTGTATCGGGTGCAATTAGTAGTGTAAAAAAAATGCCTCTAATTTAGAAATTGAGGAATATGTAACACAGATTATAGACTGAGTATAGATTTACAAACTTTTTAACATGTAAGATGCTTATGAACAGAAAATGAATGTTTACTTAAAAAAGTGTATTTCACATTCATTGTGTGAACATTTCTTTAGTTGTATCTGCATTAACATATATGAATTATGTATTTAATCATAAAAGAGTATCAGAAAACAATCTGCCAAAATATTATGTCAAAATAAAGAGCAAAATGCACAGATTTATCATATTCTAAATATTTCCATTACTTATTTGTATTGTTGTCACTTAATGATGTCACCTAAACACAAAGTATGCCTCCCTTTGTTAAACACCCTTTGAGCTTGCCAAGGGTAATACTGAACCCTTTGGGTCTCCTTCAACGAAAAAACACAAACATCCCACTCAGAAAGCGGCAGAAGTGGCTCACCTTCTCCGTCCGTCCCACATGAGCCGAGCAGCAGTGAGGCGGCGAGCGCAATAACCTCACAGAGCCTGCCACTGGCCAGAGGCATGTTGAAGCCACAGGGTGTTGCAGAGTGTAATCCCGCCCGTTGGAGGGTGGCCGTGCCGTTCTTCCACCTTCTCCTCCTCCTCCTCTTCTCTCCCGTCCGCCTCTCTGCTCTGCTCCTCCAGCTCCAGCTCAGCTCCGGTGCGCAGTAAAGTCCGCTGCAGTTTGCAGGAGGCTGGCCGGCACCCAGCCAGAAGGAAGGATGCGCTCACACTGTCTGCTTTCTGCCAAGAGATGAAAGCAAAAGAACGGGGCACGCAGAGAGGGGGAAGGAGGCTGTGACAGGTTCGAGTCCAGCACACCTCCCCTCTCTCTGAAGGAGCTCAGAGATTGAGGAAATAGTCTGACATGGCAGCATGTGGCTGCTGTGACGCTCATCTGCTCTGTGCTCCAATAAAATGAAAACAACTTCAATTACAGTGAGCCTGAAGATCAAACCACATCAACAAATCAGGGGGATGGACATTAAGACTAGCTGGTGAAAAGGGCAGGTTTGTTCATTAGATAATAAATCGTTGTCAAACAATCTCTTTTCTTTTTTTAAGTACTCTAAGTCAGGCAGGTTGGTGTTTGATACCAGGAAATCCCAAAAGTGGGATTCTGGTTTGGGCTGAGGGGGAGCAGGTCCACTTCGGACAGGCAGGGTAACTTGACATGGGAGAAAGGCAGAGTGGTGAAGGTTTAGTTTATGGTTATGAGTCCCAGTGGTTTAAAAAAATCCTTTCCACAGATTTTGTTGCACTTTTGTATTGTCTTTTTTACATTTAGCAATGATAACCAATCAGTGAATTTGCAATTTGTTGCTCAATGATGAAGAAATCCCAACTGGGGCAGCCACACCACATTTGATATTCTTGACCAGCTGTTTTAACTACTCAACCAAGCTATAATAATGGTAGAACATGCAGTTATGCTTGATTGAAGTCAAAGTGTTGCATTAAATTGCTTCATTTGTCTCTAAGGGAAGTTTTATGATTCAGGCACGGACTCCCGTTATAACATGCTGATGCGCTTTGATTCTGAAGATTGATTTGAAATTTCTTGATATGCAACTGTTCATACATTGGTAAAGCTGTATGTGAGCCAAAGACCTCAAAGCTGCCATGCACACCAGGAAAAAAAAAGACCCCCTTTGGGAACTGGAGGAACTGTCACTTTTCAGATGCTTTCAAAGTCTGTCTGAATATTTTGTCAGACCTCCAGTCAATGAATATTCAAGTCAGATAAACCTCATCAGTCATTTTGACATGCTGGAGGAAAGCAGATTGTTAACACAAATTATTTTCAGTTTTCTGTTGTACTTTAGGTGTTAAGTCATTCAGAAAAACTTTGTATTTCAGTCTCTCGATCAATCAAACCCAATAGATGCCAGATGTATGGCAGCACAAACAAATATCCAGGGTCAGGTGATATTCCTGGGTTTATTTCCTGCAGGATTTCTTCAAATTGTTTTTAAAATGCAATCTCAAGTTCTTAAAATGCCAACTGTAAAGAACTGATTTACAACAGAAATCCTCCAAAGATCACTGCTAACACTCTTGCTCTTTCCAATGGATTTTTATTGGATTTTGTTGTGGTGTGTTCTCAGACAAACATTGAAAAAAGTTTTTGGGGAGATTACATAAAAGTAAATTGATAAATGATCCACTCATCCAATGTCTGAGTCCCTTTTATCTCTACTGCTCTCTGCTGGTAATTTTATGTAAAAGAATTGCTACTCTCTCCCACTTAACTCAGCTCCCTTCAAGCAATGTGTGACTGGCACATTCCACAGGTTGTAGGTTGTAATCATGTGTACCTCATTGTACACATGATTACAAGCAGATGCTGACAAGGGGAACTCTAACTCAGCTTATTGGACACTTAAAAAAGTTATGTCTATTCTTTAGATTCTGTTAGGGACAGCATGGAAGATGGGGTGAAACAAAATGTTTTCATCATATGAGAGGGGTTTATGAGGAAGCATTAGAATAAAAATAATATGAGCAAACTAAAAAAGCATCTACATGATTTGCATATGCATCATTATACAGGCACTGCACCTTATTTTGCCACAATTTTACTCTGTATTGTTCTGTTTCCCAGCTGTTGTGTATCCCTCACATGAACACTAACGAGGCCTTGGCGCCAATGCAAAATGAGCTGCAAGCAGCCTGGATCATTTTCCCACTGATGCAGTGTACTGCCAACACCAATGGAGCTACTATGTGATCACATTAAATGAAGCATGTAAGGTATGAGAAGTGGCAGAGGAATTTAAGCAAAGCACCTGTTCATTTGCAACAATAACTAACAAACAAGGAATAGTAACAAAAAAGTGATAACCAAAGAGAAGACCTTCAGGGAAAAACAGATTCTAATATCAACATAAGATGAATGTGAACTGTGGCGTGACAGTCACCAACACCAAATAAACAACAAAGCCTTGCTGATTATGATAGTGTTTCATTTATCTTTCTGAAACAAAAATGATTAAATTACAGCAGGTTTAAAAGAGCTGACTTTTCAAGGTTTGCTGCTCAAGACTTAAACTTAACTAACTTAAACTGCTCTCTATTGGATAGATACATATAATGTACAGATACATTATATATTGACTGACATTATGGAAAGTATTTATATATTATTTAGAATTTACAAGCAAACCACCATTCAAACTATGTAATTGGAAAAATGTATTTAATTCTATTTCACTCTTTTTTTATCCAAAGTGGATGTAAACTTTTGTCCCAATGTTGCTACTGTGTCTCTCCTGAATATAGTCTCGATTTAAATGTGAAAACAGTAATTAAAGAGTGAGACTCTGTGTAGCAGTATCAAATGTGTAAATGTGACCCCAGAGCAGTGCAGTGAGTTTGGAAGCCAGCGGATCTCAGTGACAAGTCTGAAAGTAATGCTATGGAACAATGTCCTGCGTTGTGATGATGCAGGCGTGTATCATTCCCTACAAATGCAGACGAGCTGATGCAGAGTTGTCTAAAAGCATATTGGTTTCACAGCTGCTAAGGGTTGGATTAAAAAACTACCCTAAATAAAGTAAAATGTTAATGAGTTTTAGAGTCTCTGTGGTGATAATTGCCTCATTTATTCAGGGAGCCATTTTACTTTGATGTCTAAATCTTTTCTGGTAATTAATATGTAAATTGATGCAGATTTAGAGTGATTTAGAATCTCATGCAGCCAGAAACATAGTCCAAAACATTTATAAATATATTGATAGCCAAATCATACGTTTCATATAGCCTGGGTTTCCACAAGTGCAAAATCATTACACCTTTGTACAATTGGAACAAATTACAAAAAGATTTATGGTTAAAACTAACAGCAAAAGGCAACTTTACAATGTAGTTTGCGGGAATGAAAACTACCATAAGACAGCCATTCCCTGATTGAAAATCAAAACAAATACTCACCTGGACTAACCTGTTCTGCTTTTGCTCAGCTCAATAAACACCAACACACTTCAGATTTTAAAACACCTTTATTGGTACGTAAGGAAAGGAGTGTTTGTAAAGGGAGGGCATTTTGAAGTTCACAACTAACAAAACTGACACATAAGGCGGGTTTACCAACCTGAGAGAGTCCGAGGCACGATGAAAAATTAGGTTGTGGAGGGACCAGCACAAAAGTATTTATTGATCTATTTGATAAGTTTCTAAGTCATGTATTCACATTTGACACCTATTCATACTTTTTGTTTTTTGGCTCTTAGTTTTTGGTCTGGATCTATTATGGGTATATATATTTGCAGGGTGCAAAGCTCAAGTGGGGCAGACATTATGGAAATGTCTGAGTGCACATGCACAGCTCTCTGGAAAGCAATCATACCTGCAGACTTTGTTTACATCAATTTATCTTCTGAATTATTATTTGGTGCAAGTATTCCTGAATGAACAGCACATCAATTTCTGCAGATACCAGTTTGCTGGAACACAAAAATCAAGAGGTTAAAGCTGGTTTGAGACAAATTCCTAAAAGTTTGAAAGAACAAATACATTTCTTTCCAAATCTAATTTGTGCTGGATCTGACTTTGAGGCTATTTCTTAAGGGACCCAATTTCCATTTATATATTTAAAAAAGAGGTCAATTTTAGTTTAATCTATTTGAATGATTCTTATAGAACAAGTGTGTTCAAATGCAGTGTTTTGAGGGTCTGGTCTATTTAACATTGGATGCGTAAAATACTTTATGCTGACTGGCTAAACAAAATGCTGATGTAAAGAATGATGTAATTATTATTGCTCTGAGTGCAGTACTAAGAAAATCATTTACTCTTTAAGTACCGGTATATCAGAGCCCACAAAGACTATCAGCTCACCCTTATTTTTCAAAAACTCCTCTTCTGCCATCTTGTGTTCAGATTCACACTGTGCTTCAAAGTTTGTACGTTTTTTCACCATAGCGTTTGCTTTGCCTCTTGACTCGTTCAGCATCTGAGTTGACAAGATGTCAAAACAAAATAATTGTTGTGACTTCACCAAACTTTTCACTTATGAGGAAAAATAAATTCAACAAATGAGGGCTGCAAACATGTGTTATTACATTTTTTAAGTCGGTAGTTAATTAAGCTGAGATATTTGAATAAATACCAGTTTGGGTAATCTGAAGCAGAAATGAATTATCTTTGGCCAAAAATTTCTTTAAAAAACAATTTATTAAAAAAAAAAAAAAACTCAACTTCTGACAGAAGGACTTGTTCGTGTAAAGCATTCAGAAGAAATCAGCATACTCGGTTTACTTCACATCCCCTGAACCTCACAGAGACTCAAGTCCATTTGTCACCAGGTTTAATGGAGCCTTTCCAGCCTAAAAGAAAAGAAACTGAAGATATTTCTGTTTTCTAGAGCTAGGGCCTGAGTTATCCTCAGGCCAGACCAAAGGTAACATGGTTTTCATGGCAACAATTTATTTTATCGGTGGCTTGGCCTCCACTCTGCCAGTTTCCAAGTTGTGGATCCAGCGGTACTCATGCAGATTACTGGTTATGTGGTGTGTGTTGTGACCACTTGGAGAATGTGTCCAGTCCATCGCTGCAGTCCTGTGCAGTTCAGATAAACTGCGGATAACTTTCAACCTAAAAAGTATTGCGTGCTTCAGTGGGTCGATGCGCCTGAGCCAGCTTACCATAGCCGCCTCTGGCCGGGTCGTAGTCCTGCCTGTACTCATCCCTCACCTACACGGCAACACAACAGACCCACAGACAACAATAAGTGAAAGAACTACATCAAAATCAAACTGGGCACAACCTAACAATTCTGACTAGTCTGAAGCTGTTAAAGTTAAGTTATAATGCAAAGTAATCAAAATCAATCAGAGGACCGAATTTCAGTTTGAGAAAAAGTCTAACACTGGGAAAAATAATATTTGCGAGGCTGTGCTTGTTTTTATAGAAATCTGAAATTTAATTTGCTAAGAAATGCATTTGTGCTGAAGTAGAATCAGGTTTTCCTAGTCGATGTTTGTCTACAGATTCAAAAGCCTATACATTTAATGAAGTTCAGGCCGAAATATTAGTGAGGATTCAGCAGTAAGACAAAAAAAAAAAACTATTGCAGATGTAAGCAACTTCCACGTTAAAATGATTAGAATGACTAATGGTTTTTAGAGGACAACAGCAGAGATATACAGCGCCCCTCACCTGTCCTCCAGATTTGCCGCGGCCATATTGCCGTCCTTCCTTGAACCCAGCGTCCCAGTCTGTGCGGATGATTCGGTCATCCAGCCGTGTGCCATTAACAAAGCGCATGGCGTTTTCTGCATCTCCTCTGGTATAATATCTGGTACAGTAGGTGTTAAGGCAAACTAAACTCTGAATGATGCGTCTCAGAGCCGTACTTGACTAACCATACAGGAGGAGACTTTGTCCGATTTTTTCAGTAATTCATTATTTTTTTCATTTATGTTCAAAAGGATACTCTACAAAGCAGAATCCACAGGCCGTTTTCTTAATTTTATCCAATCCAATGATAATCCGCTTGACATCTCCACATTTAGCGAACAGTTCATGTACCTGTGAATTAGTGAAACAATTAAAAGAAAACTCCTTTTGTTTGTGGTTGAGAATTCAAAACTCGGGGTAAACCATGCTAAAATTCACAACCACACTCCGAAGTAGCTGAAGTCCCAGAAGAGGGAGAACATGATGAATATTAGATCTGGATAACATAGGAGTAGAATTCATTCTTCTTACCTGCTCCTCGGTGGTGTAGAAGGACAGGTTGCCGACATACAATGTGTTGCTCTGCTTAAGCAGCTTTTCCTGCTCATAGCGGTTACCCTGACACACAAGGGATATTTAAAACGAGTTCAATAAAACTCAGGAAAAGCAAAGACATGGCACCTGAAATACAATTAAAGGTCACTGTGCGACTGGCTTCGGAGCTCGACTGTTCAGAAACACCAAGAACATCTAAAATACATCTGCAACATCTAATACATATCACACAAAGTTGTCAGTGTTGTTGGTCTCCGTGAAGGCAGCTGGAGTAGGCTCCTCCCTTCATGTAATTGCAATAGTTGTAGAAAATGGATGGATATTCAACACACCTGTAATACCTGTAGTACTTTTCCTCATTTCTACATTTTTTTAATACATTTTAATACAAAGAACTAAAAAGACATTCAAAATGTATATGTTTTCCATTTACATTTTTGACTGCCAGTTTCTAATGCAAGAAAAATAACATTTTGTAATCACCTCTAAAACAATAAAATATAACATTTGGTTTCAGGACTGTTCAATGAAAAATAAATGGTCAGTATGATCAGTGCAAATCTGTGCAGTTAAGGACATAGGTGAGCTAATACCTGCTCCTGTACCCTGTTGGTAGTGAACATTTGTATATAAATAGTGGATTAATTTCTGATGGTATCCAACCAATGTTGCATTTGAAGAAACATTTGACGTTTTACCGTTAAAAAGGCCTATAAGCGGCATTCTCTGTAAATCAAAACAGCTGAATTCCAAATCCGTTGGACTAAATATAAAAAAAAATTCAAAGCTCAACACGTTGCCATCAGTATACATCAAGAAAAAAACTAGAAGCGCTCCAATATGACTCCCACGCAAAATAAATAGGTACCCTAAAACAATAGAGTACGATACCTTTCCCTGTATATTCGAGTAATATTAAAAAGCAGGAATTAAACGTTAGTGATATCTAAAATTCGTTTTTTTTCCTAATATCTCAACCAACAAATCCACAAAATGACGCGATCTTCACTGCCAGTTCTTTTGTTGCCCATCTGTTAACTAAAAGAAAACCTGATCCGACGGACCATAATGTTTATTTCTCACTCACCTTAAAGTGCTGATCTCTATATTGGCTTATTTCAATGTACGAATCACTATTTAAAGCGTTCAATTTAGCAGACATTGTGGAGAAATGTTGGACGAGCGCTGTATTGCTGCTCAGCGGTAAGTATCGGGAAATACAAAGCTTTCCGGTTCATCTGTCCGTTCAGTTAACCGCCCCGAGTGGAAACACTTCATTACTGGTTAATGGTACCGCCTGTTGATGCCAAAGTACGTGCCATGTATCGTGTACATATGATTTTTGGGATAGTTCCTTGATTTCAAATGAAATTACATACATGAACAAGCCGATACGGCTCGTGCATCAAACCTGACCTTCACTAAAATATTGTTTTGCTTCTGCATTTCCTTTTACTTTTAATGTAAAATAAAATGTAAAAGACATCAATTAATGTGTTCTTACCATAAAAACCAAGCAAGTCACAACATATTTAAGGCCACTGAAGTCCTAAGCTTTTGTGTCCCCCTATATGTGTGCAAAATGTGGAGCCATCCTATTGGCTGAAGTCATACAGTCCCTACTGGCTGTTTGCCCGACTGCTTCTGTCTAAGGTGTAAAAAATGTTTCTGTCCTGTTATTTCACTTCAGATCTCATTAACTATGGTAGTTATTTTATTGGTATTGTTGTATATTCATTTTGTTTTTTCATGTTTGACTAACATTTTGATATATTAATTTATTTTATGTGCATGCAATTGTGTGTAAATAAATAATCTGCTAATTTATATTTTCATTCTTTTTTGATAGAAACACATCATCATGAGGTCAACATTTTATTATCATAATTCCATTACTCAAAGTTAACAAAAGTATTGATTTTAGTTCATCTCCAGTCTGACTTCAGGAATAACATGTAAATCATTTTTGAGGAAAAAGCTAAACAAAAACAGAAATCTGGAAAAAAAAACATTAGAAATCACAGGAAATTAAAAAACACATGATGGGATGGACTGCAGTGTATGACGCTGTAATCAGCTCTCAAACTTAACTGCTTACTGTCATACTCTGAGTTTAGAAGAGGCCTACCATTAGTTCCTATATCATACCACAACCTGAGTACAATACAGCTAGCTATACAAAAACAGTTGCTCTGCAGAGTAGTGTGGACTTGACTCTTAGATTGGCTGTTTAATCCTCATCAGAGGTCAGATGGTCTCCTGTCAAATCTGCAGCGCTTCCTGGAACCTGAAGCAAAGACAGACGATCAGACATTTAAACAACAGAAAGCAAGGAGAAGTGAAGGAGGAAAAGTGGTTAAGTCGGGAATGGGTTAAGAGTTGAAGATGTAAAAGGTTAACACTTTTTCTGGGCAAAGTAATTAGACTACTTGAGCAACATCAGGGGCCAATACCTTTAATTATGTTTTTCTTAAAATAATAAAAACTGGGGAAACATTGTATTTTAGTAAAACGGCCCCTGGTAGAATTTCCATTGGAAAATTCTCAAAACTATTTTCATCTTCCTAATTTTTTTATCCTTCAAGACCAACTGCCGTCTTCATTGTGTGTGCAAACATTAGTTCAGATTTTCCGTCTAAAAAGATATTGTAATTTAGAAAATATATAACTAAAAAGTACTTTTTTATAGCTGCCTTTCTCTTCCATCTCCTATTCATCAAAGGTCGGATCTTCTCTCGATACTCAGCAGCTCGACTTCAAAGATGAGCGTGGCTCCTCCGGGGATCTTTGGGGGAGCGCCCCGGTCTCCGTAGCCCAGCTCCGCGGGGATGACCAGCTTCCTCTTCTCGCCCTCGCACATGCCCAGGAGGCCCTGGTCCCAGCCTTTGATCACCTGGCCGGTGCCCAGGGTGAAAGTGAAGGGTCGATCTCGGGGAATGCTACTGTCAAACTCGGTGCCGTCCTCCAGTTTGCCGGTGTAGTGCATGTTCAGTACGTCGCCCTTACGGGATTTGATGGGGCAGTTGTCTACTCGCTTTTTGATTCCGATCTGCAGCTTCTTCTTCTCGGCTCCGTTAACCGCCGCCGGGCTCAGAGACAGCACCGCCACAACGACCAGCAGGTACACCCGCATGGCTGCAGAGTCAAACAATGTAACACTGAGCGGCAGTATTAGCAATTAGTAAGGGAGATTTGCAATGCTACCGAAAGAGGTTGAGACCAAAGAACCGGATGTGATACTTCTATGGTGCCACTGGGCAAAGAATCCGGAGAAAACAAAATCCTCACAGTAATTTCTTTTAGTACCATTATATCGTTTTTATCTTATTCTGATATTGAATGGTACTACTACTACTACTACTACTGATAATAATAGTAATTATAATAATTATAATAATACAGCAGCTAATACCGCATATCGGTTGTTGTAGTTGTTCAATTTGATATTACGCCCTTTCTTTATTTCAGAAGGGGGAAATCATCTAACAAACGGTGCCAGAAAGATTTTTTTTTCTAGTGAAATCACAACAACGTTTGACTGCTGGTCGTGATTTGAACAAACGTGAAGATAGTTCAAACTATCCAGAAAAAAATATAAAAATGCAAACTGAAGGACGTTCATATTGAATTTGGTTTAGAAAGTTTTTTAAATAGACAAAATAAAGAACATGATATTTTGTAAAGAGTAAATTGTGATACGACTTCGATTCAGGAGGTGGCAATAACGCATCTTACAAACAGCTGTTTTGCCAACTGCAGTCAGACAGTAGAAAAAGAAAGCTTACTTCCTGGTATCTGTTATGTCACTTCCGCCCACGAAATGTCATTCACTTTACCACACAGGACATTTGGTTCACCTGAAGTAAGTAGTCTTAAAATATGAATATCGAAAGACATTTAAACACGAGCCTGTAAAATATGATAATGTATGACAATTATGCCATTATAGGACTGAAATCTCACGAGGCAACTGTTAGCCGACGACGCTAACATAAACCGGCAAAATGCTCTCGCGCATGTTAGCGTACCTCATCAACAACATGCAGGTTGTCGAGAAGTTGGCAGAATCCCGTCCAATTCGGAGGGCAGCCCAGATCACCGCTTATGTCATAACGAAGGCTCAGATTGTTGGGCGGGATACTTCGGAACGCGTCATTCGGTCCCAGACGCTTCGGCAGGTCCGTCAGGAAGCTGGCAAAGTCCCCATGGACCTGGAAGAGATGAACAGTCGCCTCAAGAGAGTCCGAGAGACATTTGTTAACGAGGTGAAGGAGGGATGGAAGGATGGTTCGAGGCAGATAAAGAAGTAAAACGGTGATGAGTGATGGACAGTGATGAGTTCGGATGCCTTAAGTTTTGGACTGTGTGAGATAAAAGGAGAAGTTATGTATCTAAAATATCTTTGAGGTGACTAAACTGGCAGAGTTGTAGGTGGGTAATGATGTGGAAAATGTACCCACCCACATTCAGGAAAATCCACAGCGCTCACTGTTCAATATTTTGGAATATAGCCTGTATTTGTTTGTGTGATATCTTAGCCTGTGGACAACATTGAAATGCATTCAACATTGTTGTGGATAGGAGTGTACCTCTGCAAATCTGTCTTATTTTGGACATATTTGCATTAAGAACTAACAAACCTTTTAAAATTGTATTTCCTCCAATGTGCAATCATTTGTATATGACATTGAATCAGCCAATGATCTTGTATAGGTCATTGCTTGTAAAACATGTTAAAACTTATAAAAGTGTTGAGAGATATGTGTTTGTGTATGAATATATCTTTAATTTGTGATGTAAATTAAGAATTTTTCAAATAATATTTTGTTTTAAATTGATATGGAAAGGACAAAAAAGCTGTGTTAAGAATACATTTTTGTGGGTATATTGCCTGATACTGAATTACTGACAAAGTAGCTTTCACTTAGTTCATGTCCTTTCACAGCACCATGCAGGACTGACCTCCTATCTTCTATTTATGTTCAAGTGATTTGATACATCTCTATTTTTGGAGCAAAGCAGAAATCTAAAGGTACAGGACAATAAAAGTATTTAGTATTCAATTTACCTTGTCATCTGTTTGAATGTTAACTGGTGACACAGAATTAGTGCATATTTATCTCGGTCATGATTCAACAAAAAATTCTGTTTATCACTGATTACTTTTTATACACCTAATTTTGTTTTGGTGGCTTGAGCAAACAATTTATTGTGACATCACTTAAAATATACAGGAAATAAAGTGAGAATACATACTGTACTTCTACACAGGATCTTGCACATTGCTGTCCACATTTTACAGGGAACCTTTGGAAAAACCAGAGGCAACATCATTAAGGGATCAATTTCCTTTTTCAACATCAAATCAGATATATATTTTTTCATCTGAAAATAATCATTTGTGGTGAGAAGTTCTTGCCTTTTTAAGTTTTGCCAATTAAATTTTAAAATATTAACAGTACTACCAAAATGAAGTTTGTGGTTTAATTATGTGACTGGGGTAATCCTCACATTTTTTTGTGATGGTTTTCAGCAGAAGAAAAAGAGGCCTGACACCCATACAAACTCCCAGTGTGTAATTCAGTTTGTACCTTAATGATATTTTTGCATACATGGACAAAAAATGTTTGAAAATAACCGTATGAAACCTATGACAAGAATCATCAGCAATATCCTTTGCCAAAGAAAATACTGAAGATAAAATAAATATATATTTTTTTACATAAGGCTAAAATGAAATCCTGCATCTCTAAACAGGAATTTTAACATATATTAATATTAAATATATCTAAACTTTATTAAACAGTTATAATGCTGCAGACAAATTAATAATAAAGGATCACTTGGCAGACTGGATTTGGATGTTCATAGTTTTATTTCATTTTAATAAGATGAGAAGTAGCTTTATGTAGCAATACTTATGCAGACACACTGGCCTGGCAACTAAATATTAGTCACAAATGACATCATTTCACATAGAAATAAGGAAGAAGAGAAGGCATTAGTTTCTGACAGCATGAGTCAGTACATATACACTGATATGGCACCTGAACTTCATATAAAAATAAATCTCTCAACACTGGAAAATATACATCAAATCAACATTATAATCCAGGAAACAGCAACAAGCAGCAGACATTTCAGTACAATATGATAGAAACCAGAAGGTCTGAGTACAGGAAAAATATTTCAGGCATTAGATTGTATAAGTTGTAATTAGTTAAACTTATGTTCTCATTTAACCATTCAGCACAGGATGTTTCCATGATGTTTTCCCCAACCCTGATGGAACTTGGCCCACACAGCTTTACATAACTCCATTTTTGTACAAAATGATATGCAGAACATGTGAGCAATAGACGCAATGCAGGATGTATATTGACTGTGTGCTAATAAAGTAGCTTATAGTAAAGGTAAACAGACTCTTATACAGAAAACAAAAAATGAAAGGGTTTCAATGTGATCCTGAAAACTTGATAGAGTCATTATCATTGAAAAAGAAAGAGTTGATCTGGAGTTAGAGAAGCCTGAGCAATTCAATTTTAAAACTTCCAGTGGAAATGCATTTCTTTTCTTGATGAGGTAAGCTGGACATGGTCAAATTTCCAGTTGATTGCATGAGGTCAAACATAAGACTGTCGTGAATGAGGCAGTGTTGCACTAAAGCAATGTAACAGGTGGCAGCATACTCACTGATATGGCAAACTCACCTTCAGTAAACAATTAGCAGCAACACCTTTCCTCTTATCCACACTCCTGAAAACCTGTAGCGAACTCGCACCTTCACTATGACTAATAATTTTACTTGATATGCTTTAACATTAGTGCTATCAAAATCCAGAGGCAGTTGTCTTCTCATATAGAAGCTCAAATGAACTCACAATCGTGTAAAAGCAAGGCCAAAGCGCTATGAAAGACATGATTTTGTTTTCAACGGGTCAGCAATCAGGATAGCTTTAAAGCCAACATCAGAGCATCAAAAGTGACGGGAAAAGAGAAGGGCTAGCTTATATGGAGTATCCAAGAGTGGAAAGAGAAAGAGATGAATATAATGAATTTCTGAGAAAAAAAATCAAATGGAAGAAGCCTGTTGTATCGGAGACCACTGTGAAGCCGTGGGATTACATCCAGGAGTTGGTCAGCATGGTGCCCAGCAGGACCAGCAGCAGCAGCCACACTGACGACACCACTGTAAGCAGGAGAAAAGAGTGGGGGGCTGTGTGTGAGACTTGTGTAACAGTGTTCCTTTTTGATGGATCTTCATCTACACAAATCTGAGAAAAAAACTTTCTCACACAATTCACACAAATGATGAGCTTTCCCACATTCATTTGTAAAATGTGAGCCAAAAGGGTCACAGGGTCCAATTTAGTGTTCAGTTACTATGACCACCAATATGAGTGTCTGAGCTTTTAAAAAAGTTAACTGATTTACTAATATTTCTTATCTTTCACACAGCGGGTACACAGCAACTTCCGGTTACCAGCCTTTTTATACACAAAGTCAGACAGCCACTGATTAGAGCAACTTACCGCAACAGAAACTTTTTCTTAAAACCATCTTCCCAAATTGCCAAATTGATCCTTTAAGATAGCCAAAGAAAATCAAATAGCTTTACCTGTGTTTGACGAGTTGCATTCCATATTAACCAGTGAGTCCATGTAGCCCTGACCCAGCCACTCCTGGTAGGTTTTTCTCTCAGCAACACCCACTATACGAATGGTGGAGTCTTTGAAAATGAGGTCTGTGCCACTGTACGCCTGAGAGTCAAACATCTTGAATCCGTCACCTGAATGGGTGCCAAAATGTGCCTTACAGAGGGCAGATAAAAGGACAAACAGAGGAAAAAATGTCAGTGAACAGAGGCATGATAAACAACATTGCGTTTCTTTACTAATCATACTTTATTCTTCACTTATTAAATTATGAAATTCAGTAATATTTTTAGAGGTATTTGATTATTTTTTAAATGATCATAATAGGCATTTGTTTACTTGTCTTTCTTTTTGCCTTTATAAGTGAATGCTAATTTATTCCACTAAAAAATAATAAAAGGGGACTTTTTTCTTTGATTATGTATGAAGTGTTTTGCATTCCTGTCAACTCACATCAATTAAATGAAGTGACAATGTTTAAAGAGAACAAGAATAAATTAAATATAACTTTTTATTATTAAATTCTCAAACGTGTGAACTCTCTCACCTGTGCGCGGTCCAGGAGCCCAAACACAGCATGGATGTTGGTGTCTGGTCGTACCATTACAGCATGAGAAGGGACTCTGGCCAGATTACAGTATCTGTACTGTGTGACTTCTGCTTTGGTATTCTGGGAACAGAGCAGCTGGAAATCTTTGGACTGAAGATCTGTAGCCCATGATTCAGATGACTGACCTGAGAAGAGCAGTTACAGAGTTACTCAATAATCTCAAACCATTAAAAGGGACCCTGGGAGGAACTTGTCTTACCATCAGTATTTTGAAAGACAGTGGAATGCTTGACGAAAGCCACGTCTCCACTGCCACTAGCCAGACACCTGAACGAACCAAAAATTAACTCTGTGAAGTTCAGTTCAAGCAATGTACACACACACGCACATGTACACAAACAGTAACATGAAAGAATGATCTAATTGCCCTGACTGTCTTCTCTCATGTGAAACTGTCTGTTTTTCACATGGTCCTTTGCCTTAAAACGTACCAGTTTGATTCTTTTTGAAAAATATTGACAATGTTTACATTCACAATGTAGCGATGGTCTTGGGTCGTGAGATATTTTATTACCTGAAAGCTCCATTATATCCATCGAACAGGTCTTGTCCCTTCTCACATTTGTTCTGTCCTGAGCCATCTCCCACACACAGATCACACAGGCTGCTGGGGAAATTGGGTTGACTGGCACCTGGTACACAGCTCTGTTTGAAGAACTCTCCTACCGCTAAGAGTCATGGGAGATAGGGAATATGAAGTTAGAGTGTTGCAGGACAGTTAAAGCTGTTACATTGAATACATGACATACGGGGCAGAACAGATGATGCATGATCCAAAGCCGGGTGGTCGATGATAAGAATTTTTTACTGTACACCTAATATACCCATTGCATTCTGCCCTTTTTATTCTGATTCTTAAAAAAAATTCAAAAGCCAGTTCAGAAAATAGCTTGAAAAAATCTAAACATGCATCTTCGACCGATGTAAATAACACGAGTGAGGAGAACAGATTCCCTCCTCTGTAACACGATGCCTTACTTACTGACCTTGTGGTATCTGACAGTGCTGAGGGCGGATCAGGCCTCTCTCCATCAGAGATGAAACAGGGATGTTCCAGCCAGCTGTGCGACCATATCCGGTGTGGCATGAGCGTTTACCACGTAGGTCATCAAAGTTGCGGATGTCTGTGCTGGTCTTTTTCACCACTGCGACTGCATAGTACGTAGCACCATCACGGTCATCTAGGCAGGAAAAGAAAATAGGAACACAAGTGAGAGCTTGCTCGTTTTGTAGTAAAAATGAGTAAAAATAGTTTTTTATCCACCTGTATAACTCTCAGCAGCGGCAGGAACCAGGCCGTAGTCTTTGCCAGCTGTGTAGATGTATCCTCCATCCAGGGTGATGGCATCAGCCTCTTTGTTCTGAGCAAACATGAAAAGGAACATTTTTTAGAAGATTAGAGCATTGCCCCAAACATTTAAATAAGGAAAGATCTTTTATTTAATAGAAACATATATCACACTCATAATAAAAATGTGTATTTCTTATGATAATAAGATAAGATATGATAATAATCCAGTAACAGAAGTGAGGGATCTCCATGGCTGCTGAGCCCGTAGCTGAGCGTCTCTTACTTTGATTCTCTCCATGCAGTCCGTGATGGAGTCGCCATAGATGCAGTTGATGCTTGGTGTCAGACCTTTACTTTGGAATACTGCACCCATATCAGCACACTTCTGCTGCTCCCCGCTTGACAACACACACCACCGGATCACACCAGGGATATCTGTTACAGAGTGAGTGGGATAGGAATTCTGTGAAATACCACTCATTTCTATGCTGTTAGAGAGTTTCACTTTAATTTTAAAAGCCTCACTGCATGTTGAGTTCTTAATAAAAATGGGAAGCTTATAATTAAAATGTTTTTTTTAATCAGTGCACAGCAGACATGCCTCACCTTCAGCTTTGCAGTCCATGGCTTTCATAACATCATGATAGATGCTACCCATCCACCTGTTTGGCTCATTTGATTCGACCCCGACTAGCGTGGTAGTGGATTCAGAGAAAAGAACAGTTCCTCCTCCATAATTCGCAGATGAGAACATGTTGAAGTTGGACTTTTCCTGAAAACAAAAATATCTCTTAAAATGTGTATGTTATTTTCATTAGTATTCACCACTTAGTTATTTCTCAGTATTCTATGTCTTTTTTTAAAATATGAAATTAAGTTGAAAATGATCACTTTTTCTGTGATGCTTCACAGAAAAAGTGATCTTTCCAAGGACATGTCTGTGGTCAGATGACAATGGAAAAATATGTGCTTTGATCCTGATGTATGTCAGCATTCCTGTTTGTAGGTGTTGCTATTAATGGTCTGTTTGGACATACCTGACCTTCTTTCAACATGTTAAACACCACAGAGGGAGTGATGTCATTGTTAACCACAATGCCACGGAACGGGATGCGGACCAGATGGCACCTGTTCCACTGAGAAACAGGAGCTCTAGTTCCATCACGACACAACAGCTCATAGTCCGATGACTTCAGCGTTTGTGCCCAGGCAGGGCCAAGACCTGGAACAGGGATAACTGGTTACTGGTTAGTTAACCTAGTTAAACTAGTTAGCTGAAGAGCATGTAGGAGATCCTAACTGAGGTAATGTACAACACTAAATCCTACAGTTCATGTTATGTCCTGTTAAATGAGACATTACCGTCAGTGTTCTCCCCGACAGTAGAGTGTTTAATGAAAGCCACCTCTCCTGCATCCTCAACCAAACACCTGAAAACATCACACAATTCAAATTGACTTAAACTAAAAAGTACAAAGATTTGTACAATTATGAAGCATTCATTTGGAAATCTTTAGTGATAAAGAACAACACACTTTAAAAGCAAAGAAAAGACTTTAACTTTTCTATGTAATTTAGTATTTAGAGAGTGACTACGTACCTGAAAGCTCCCTCATAGCTGAAGTACATTTCATTGCTGCTCATCTCACACTTGTGCTGCCCATTATTGTCCCCTTTGCATAGCGCACACAGAGACTCAGGGTCGCCGGGCTGGTTAGCTCCAGGGATGCAACTCGCATTGAAGAAATTTGCCACGCCTGATGAAACACACACATCTTTTATGTGTCTGCTAATGATTTAAACGACATAAATTATACACAGCTAACTGTATTTTCCCCAAAAAGGAAGAATTCGTTTTTTATTATTGTGATCAGTCAAGTGTCAGGGAAATGTCATCAATACCATTCACTCATTATGGTATTGCAGCCCTATGTCCCTGTATGGCCTAACACCTGGGTGTTACAGTCTTCCCCTCGTTATCTTCTCATAATACTGCCAGTACTAAATATTTCTTCCTTACCGTGTGGGATGTTGCAGCCCATAACAGACATGTAGCCCTGGTCTATGAGGTATCCCAGAGGCATATTCCAGCCAGCAGTTCGACCCTTCCCAGTGTGGCAGCTCCTCTTTCCTGCTAGGTTGTGGATATTGATGGCCGAGTTTGCTTTCTTTACAACGGCAACTGCATAGTAGGATGCGGTTTCTGGGGAAACGACAACAGATTAGGCATTGACTTCTACGAGTATTTTGTGGTTTGATCTGTACTTTCTATACCAAAGAATGGGAACATGTCCTAAAGCTCAGCCTGCAACAACCATTTTGAAAAACAGTGACAGTTAGCAGTGCAACACCTGACTCAATCCCAAGGTGATAATGAGCTTTTATAGAAGTCGTCCAAGTTTTTTCCTTAAAGAGTAACTCAGACTAGTGCCACCGTGGCACATATCACATGTTATCTTTCCTGATAAAAAAAGAAGAAGGTCGAGGTGTAGGATAAGATTAAGATGTCTGATCTAGAGTAATAATAGAAAAAAAAAATCAAATAAATATAGACAAAGTTAATTGTTTCGTTATTGTTCGCAAGAAGTTCTACAATTTTAGAATCTGGTGAAGCCACATGAATTTTGGTGATACTCTAATATATGAATCAAATTATCATGTCCTTAACCATCCAGTAAAATAAAATCCACCAAACCTTGTAAAGCTAAAGTCTGCCGAGTCAAAAGTTGGTTCTCACCCCCATTCTTTGATTCACTTGCAGCCATCTTAAAGGAGGCAGTTTTCCCTGCGTTGTAGATGTCAGTTGCAAACATAGACAAAGAATCAGCTTCTTTTTTCTGCAGAGAAACATCAAAGCAAAAAGGTTGGTATTATGAAAAAGGAGGATGAATGCTAAAGGACTCTTATCGGTCAAAACCACCCAGAAATAACTGAAACTGTGGAGACATACAAAGCAAGCAAAACATATAATAGAATTCTCTTTGGGAGTCTCAAATATGTTCCTTCAAAAGTCTGTGCATTCAAGTCAACCTGTTCAAAATCCCAACAGGGGTAAGAGAAATCAAAAAGATCTCAAGTATGTCTTAAGAAATGTCCATATTGATCTTGATAACAAGTGGTAAAACACTAATTGGAGTGAATTAATGATGCTGACAAAAAGGGCCCTAGCCCTTTCCAGTGCTCTTATCTGATATTCTGTTCCAGTGCTTCTGAGATTAGTGCCAATCATTTTGTGAAAGAGTTGTGTATATACCTTATGGATTTTTTACTTTAGATGCAATCACAGTTACATGTGTTGTTTAAGTTTTTTGAGCATTTCAGATTTTCAATCAATTTTAAAAAGTAAAATACATTTAAAGTCGTACAGTACTTCCAGGTCATCTACACATAACTAAGACAGTTTCTGAGAATCTTTATCTGTGTCTTGGTCATAAAGAGCTCAGCTCACTTTTTCTCCCTGATAAAAGTTAAACTGTAAAAGGCTTAATTGCTACATTTAGATTCTACGTGATTATGTGTTCTTGGACTCAAATCATTTTATTAGCTTTTATTGCCCTGTGTGGTCCACATATTTTTTTCAAAGTCTTGTTATACAAAACCCACCTGCAGTTTCTCAATGCAGCCTTCGACTGTTGGCCCCGGGACGCAGCTGAGGGTGGGACGGATGGAGACTTCAGCAAAAGACTGCGACATAGCCTGACATTTCCTCTGCTCTGGTTCCGATATGGTGCACCACCTGATGCTACGCTGGCAAAACGCTGCGAGTAAAAACAGAAGGGGCAATTTGCTATGTTGTCATGTCTTGAGATATCAGATGTGATTATTTAATTTAATATTTAATAATATTTTATACAGAATGTCGGTACAAAATATAACAGCATACCTATAGTTTTTACTAAAAAAGGTCCTTATACACAACTATTAATAGATTATGTGAAGAAACCTCCCTTGTCTTTTTTCAGGACAGTTTTTCCTATTCAATATCAATGCATTTTAAAACTTTTTATAACTGTGCTCTCTGATACTATGTAAGTTATGAATTAACTCTTTGTTCTTTTATTACCCAAGAAAATAGTTGACTTTACTAAGTATTTTTTGGAAAATGCAAATATTCAAAATTATTGCTGTCAAATTATTACTTTTTTGGGCAACAAATGTTTTTAAAAAAAATCCAGGTAAACTTACACAATATGTCTGGCTGTATGTGACCACAGACTGAGATAGATAAGAGGTTTTAGAAGTAACACTTAAATCAACATGTTAAACAATGTCTGTGTAAATGTTTGTGTATTTGCATTAAGCTAGAACAAGAAAAAGTTTTACTTACTGGCATTTACTAATAGCAGAAGGGCTCCCACTGTCCTCCACATGGCCATGATCCTGATCACGTTCCTTCTCACTAACAACCTAATGGCCTTTCCAGTCCCTTTTCTCCCCCTTATACGATGATTCGTGTGTCAAAGTCCGTCTCCTATCTCCAAGATCTGGTTTAAAGTCCTTGTGTGATTCCCGGATGTTACTGTGACTTAACTGATTTACAACTCGGTAACCTACAAAATGTCATCCAGGGGGCTTTTAAGGTTCAGTGTATGGTTTACAAAGTCTGCCTAGTTTACCTGTGACACATCCTTGCAGTTGCCACCTGGCTACCTGCCAGAGCTAGGACAGAGGAGCCTTTTACAGAAACAACTCCACCTCTGCTGTGTGCTCGTGCCTCTCCTCCACTCATGTTGGGCTTTTCCACTGATGTGCAATTGGAAAGGAGGGACTCAGGCCAAAAGAGTGAGGCTATTGGTGACTGACTCACTCTTTTAAAGACAGAGACAAGGAGGGCTGTGTACTTTCCTACTTTAAAAACTTTACCCGAAGTAAAGTTACCCCAAGTATCAAACTGAATTATTTCAGTTATTTCAATCACTTTAAATCCATGACCTCTGTAGCACAATAAAGAAACTCACTGCTCTCACTTCTTAAAGTCTCCTGTCACCTGTTGAGGGATTACAAAGTGCAAAATTTCATCAGTAGTTTGACAGTTATAGTATAACAAGAATCAGAGGAGTTAAGAAAATAATTCAGTTTATTTAGCACAAAAGTAAATTTCCATTCAAATGATATCACAGTTAAATGTAAACTGCTTGCCAGTCTATCACAGGACCACAAATAGATCAAGAGGACCACAATCACACAGTCTCGCACTAATGCTAGGCTAAAATGAACAACAATTAACCAAGCATGCACGGTTTCAGGCTATGGGAGGAGGCTGGAGTACCCAAAACTGGAGTACCCAACACATACATGGGTAGAACATGCAAGCTACTGAGAAAGAGCCCCACGAAGGATTCAAACCAGAAACCTTCCTTTCTGTGAGGCAGACCCATCAGATCAGCATACAGTTTCTTTAATAGCTATTGTTATGGTAAATAACTCTAAATCACCCAGCTAATTGATGTATAGCAAAGGATTCTTACCATAATGAATTCAATAATTTTGATTCCCTAATCTGCAGTTACAACAGTGGGTGGGAAGTCAGTAAGATATAGTAATGTTCATCAATTTACACTTATTCAAAGCAATATCAAAATGAATTAATGTATGAATGAATAGTTTGATAGACAAACAACCAAAATGTATATCTGCATGAGCAGAAATCATATTTCAAGAAATCAGGAATAAATGGGTGAGGTCATAAAATATATGCAAGCTTTTGTTTGAAAACAGGAAGGAAGCTGGTCATAAAGAAATTTCAATTCTGCCGATTGTTACATTGTGCTCAGGGTCAAATTTCATCAAAGGATGTTGCATTGCTGAGATGAGCAATAAAAACTGTAGGAGCACTGTTATGACAGTCTTTATTACCCATAATCGTACTCACATTTGTCGACTACCTATTTAAAAAAAAAAAACGTTAAACGTAAAAATTTTGGTTTTGAATTTTAAAACAGTTATTCAGAGATTTTTTATAGATCAGTCTTGTAAGTTTAGATCATCCAATACATTTAAAAAATCATTTCTAAACAATTAAAGGAGTTACAAGCAGCTGTGGCTAATTCATGATCAAATAAGACAAAATGTCAAAGCTGAGCCAGTGTCAATATGATGATATTTTTTCTTAGAATCTGTTGTCACAGCAGACCCTCTTTACATTATGAGCCTGTGTACTAGTATTTAATCATGTTATAGTTGAATAGTTTTTCGTCTTTATTGTGTTTAAAAGCCTGCTGAATTGTCAGTTTTTCTATGGTGAGCTTTTCTTATTGGTCACGTACTGCAGTTCTTGCATGTTTTTGCACCTATAAAAAGCTGTTTTATTTGAGCCCACATCATTCCTTTCCTCACATCATAACTTTGAAAGTCAGACAGTTTTAATGTGTTTTATGACTTTGTTGACTGCATTGTATTTCCCCTCTGATTGCCAGATTATCAGTAGCAATTAGAGCATAATGAATGTACGAACCCTGTGAACTAAAGGGACATAACGATATAAACTTTGTCCCTGATATGATTGCAAAGGTTGAACATGCCTGTGGAAACTCCGGATGTGAAATCCTGGCTGATCATTGGCTGAATAGAAGTTCTCATCTCCATTTGAGTACTACATTTCATGTTTTGGTTTACTTATTCATGCATATACACTGTATTTTGGTCTGTATAAGTAAGCTATGGAGGCATAAATGTTGACCAATGTATTATATAATTTGCATCATTATTCAATGCATTTTTTAATTAAAAAATACTCTACACCAGTTTCAGATATGAAATCTTTTCAACTAAAACCAGTCACTTTAGCAACCTTGATATGTTCTATCCCTTATAAAATAAAAAGTTTTGTGTGCGACATTCTCTCATAGTTGTTGTCACCTTTACTCATCAGCGGTTGCCACAGGGGTCTTTACAGCAGATGACCTTCCTGGTACAATCCTCATATTTATCCTGGTTTGGGACTGGCCCAAATAGGACACACGCCCCTTTTTAGTTCACATTGCAAGCAACTGGGGGTTCAATGACTTTCACCTCTAAACACAGGCCTGCCCACCGACAGGACACCTCTCTTACCCTTAATCCACAGTTGCCCCGGCGATATAAAACTATTTTTGGTAGATCTAAATGTTTTTTGGTTCAGAACTTTGAAGGAATAGAACTGCTTGATTTCTGAGAATATTTTGGGCTTTGTGATTTTTTTATCATGTTGCTTTTCGAAAAAAGGTGCAAACTAAATATCACATCCAATATTAGCCATCAGAGTACACTATAAGGCAACAATGGAGGTGAAAGTAAAGGAAAATATATTAATATTGACAGATATTATGGAATATTCACACTCGCATTCCACAGAACAAAACGAGGCAAGAAACCCAAAACAAAACAATAATAATAATGATACTCATCATCTTTGATCATTGGTCAAGGGAGTACAGCAAATCTCAATAAAGACTTTTATTTATTTTTTTGTAACAAAATAGGCAGTTAGAGCAGGGATAAATATTATAATATGTCAGATATAGATCCATCTCTGTAATAGATTCTTTGCATCAGTGCATCACTCTAACAGACAACAGCATTGTCCCCTGGCTAAAACACACAGCCAGAGTCATACAAAGAGTTGGCTTCTGTCAACTGATTAACACTCAAATAACACTCAACAAGTGGAACCAGTCAAGGATTACATATGGAAAGAGATGCAGTTTATCCCAACATTCTGTGAGAAAACATTAAAGCTTCAATACACAAGCTATTCTTCTCTGCTGGCAGAACACCTTTCTGTATGTCTCTGGTCCTCCACTCAGTTTTGGAGGAGACACCTTGGGGTTGAGGGTGGATGTGAGGCGTGAGGGGCTGACATGGTAGGAACAGTGGCTGAAAGCATCTTGAACATGATTATCGTTACACTTCAGTTGATTTAGATTCATGACCTCAGCACGTCCGTGTTAAACCCGTGGTCAAAATGTACAGTGTAGGTTGAAAATGTACAGAGGGTTCGTAAATATGTCAATTTACAAGATGATGCTATACTTTTGGAAATGAGGGAAATGAATCCTCAATCAAACAGTTATGTATGTGGAGTGCTGAGGTCACACACGATAGTAGTTTCTAGAGTATTTTTTGTGTGTTGACGCTCAAACTGTTGAATGCAGTATGAAGACAGCCTGTTGGCTAGAGAGCCATGCAGTGGATGAATCCAGTGTGACGGAAGCTGTCACCAGCAGTGTACACTTTACATACTCGACAAACAGCAAATGAGATCAAACCTGTTTTAAAATAGCTTCTTGAACCTATTTTATGATCAGCGAGCGAAAAGTGTGTGTGTCACATGCGGTCCAACAAACAGAAACACTGAGATGGTGTCAGCTTCTGTTGCATAAGATGCTTTTAGGAAAGCAGCCCTCGTTAGTGCAACTACAGTAAGACGGAAAGCTGTTACGGTGACAGTGATGATTATGATCACAATGACGCATTGATGAAGGAGATGATACACTATTAACGTCAGTGAGCTCAGTTTATGTCACACATGGAAATTGGAGAATGGAAGAAGAGGGGCAGGAGGAAAGAAAGGAAGAGAAGCTTATGTGAAGACTTAAGACACAGTGCATCCAGATTTCTGAAACAGAATGGCTGGACCTGCATTGATCACATTTTAAGTATATTTTTGGTCTGAAATAAAAGTTTAAATAAAAAAAAGGAAATCGTTCAACTATATTTCCTTGTTTTCTTTTAGCAATTACATAATGAGTCAAAACAGGTCATGTCAGACATTTATTTGAATTTAATTTAAACTAATGGAATTTAAGCGGCACGGTGGTGTTACCATTGCCTCACAGCAAGAGGGTACTGGGTTCAAGTCCCCGGGGGAACCAGGACCCTTGTGTGGAGTTTGCATGTTCTCCCTGTGTCTGGGTGGGTTCTCTCCGGGTTCTCCGACTTCCACCCACCATCCAAAACCTGCTTATCAGGTTGATTGGAAATTCCAAATTGCCCTTTGGACTGAGTGTGAGTGTGCCGGGTTGTTTTCTTTTCCTTTGTTTTCCTATATATGTGGCCCTGCGACTGTCCTGGGTGTACCCCGCCTCTCGCCCATTGACTACTGGGATAGGCCCCAGTACCCCCGGGACCCCATTTGGGAATAAGTGGTTCATAAAATGAATGGATGGACGGATTTTCAACATGTTCAATTGACAGTAAGTGAAGAATTTGAAAAAATATGCTGGTCAAGACCATGGATGAGTATTTCTACCTCTGAGCTGTGACAATAATGACGGTAGAGAAATACTCGGGTACTTCTGTCAGACTTCTGTTGGGGACTTATGGATGGTAAACAGGAACAAGTTATGTGTGTCATATAATGAATGTTTGTCCTTATGCTTGTTGTCTGACAGCACAACTTCAAACAAACATTAAATGTGTATATATTTTAGTGTGAGTCCATGGAAGCTGAATTTGGGAAAGTAAAAAAAAAAAAAGTGGTCAGTGGACATGTCCCATGTTTTACTGTCACGTTCTTAACTACAGACTGGACAGAGGAATTGATTTTTTCCAGGCAGAAGTGCTAATAAGAGTTAGTCAAGTAATTATTGGTTCTTAAGATTACTGATGTTTAATAACAGTTTAAAAAACAGTGTTCCTACTAGTTAAATAATTATGACCAACCAGATGACATGAAGGGATTATTATAACTGAAAAAGCCTGAATATGTCATTATACTTTATACAGATAAGTCCAAGTCAGTGGATATTTTTTTTAATTTTGAAAATGAAATGTCTGTTAAATCTGTCTTTATTTTAAGCTTTTGTAGCCCTCAGTAGAAAAACTAAAACCATCAGAAATATGGAAAACACAGGACCAGAGCTCAGCATAGTCTCCATCAGGTATGTTTTAGACCAGCAGAAAACAAAAAATAGAAAAAAGAGAGGCAATATGACACAATTTCATGTCAAAGTAATTTAGTTTGGTTTTCTTTTGTGTTGTTCTTCTTTGTCTTAACTAATAAGAAGTGTCAGATAAATGACTAATAATGACTTATTTTTTTATGTTACATCTCTAAACAGTAGCTGCTATATACTTTGACCCGTGATTCTAAAATGGTGGGAAACTTCATTATCATAGCAATCATTCTCACCTCATATCTAAAGGCTGTAGACTGTAAAAAGAGGAAGGTGGAGCAGGTGGTGGAGGGATGGTATATGAGGAAAAAGATAGAAAGAAACGAGAAGCTCTAAAAAACTATACCATGAGAAAACACGGACAGACAGATAGACAGACCAGGAATTAGTTCAAGAATTTGTCCCAAAAACATGCTCTTAAAGCTACAGCGTGCAAAAGTCTGCCGTTTGGTGACAATATTATCATTACAAACCCATACATGAATGCATTATCCTTCGTTAATATGAAAACAACAACGACAACAACAATAAGAAGAACAGTGATGAAATAAATCAGATAATGGTACATGTTGCCTTGATTTGAACCACCTCCTTAAACATTAAGGAACTGAGCTTTAGGAAGATCCACCAAAAGGCTGCTGGACAGACACAAGCTCCTTTCCCTTCAGGATGGAGCAGTTCCAGATAGTCCCAGCCATGTCAACTTCATGTGCTTATGTAAATACATGTGTGTGTAGCAATGTAAGAGAGGAAGCAGGCTGATAATAGAAAATTAGACAACAGGGAAGTGTTGAGAGAGTGATGTGTGCATAAGTATATCATATCATGTGTGTTGATTCAGAGTCGCTCCTTGGTGGTCACCCAGATATAAGGACCAGACTGCTCCTCAATGATCTGCTTCACCTGTGAGTAAACTTCCTCGAGAGTCAAGCCCTGGACAATACCTGAAAGAGAGAAATACATAAAAGCAATAAGGGACCTAGCTCATGAATACAGTTGTTGCAATAAGAAAGCTAAAGAGCAAATGAAATATTCATACAGTAATGAAATCAATGAAAAATGGAACTTTAACTTGTCTTGGCCCTAAATAATATCTTTACCATGATCTGGTCAAAAAAAGAAGATCAAGACCACAAAAATGACCAGATTACCAACAAACACTACTTTACTGCCTATCAGCTATTTTAACAAAGATGCAGAGAATATTGCTGTATGAAAATGTGTAGCTTTTTCCAAATGAGTAAAGGTCACGTATGTATGGTACACACATGTGCTTGAAGCTGACTCACCAGTGAAGAACTCTGTGAACTCCTGCTCCAGTTTGACAGCTCTGTCAAACGTCTTCCTTGCCTGCTCCTCAGTCAATCGCTTGTTCATCTCTCTGCAACAATAAGTGTGGCAGTTAAAATAAAACACACCGATTGTTTTTGACAGACAAAAAAAACCCTGACATTTAACTACAATGATTTTAGAATCTACATATTTACACAGCACACTTACAGAATGTTGTCGACATTGCGTGGTCTAACAAAAATAGCGATGGGATGGAGACCTGCCAGTTGAAGACGTTTGATAGCATTCCCTGATACGTCCAGTATGCAGTGTTTACCCTATAACGGACACAAGTTAGGTCATTAGTCACTGATCACATTTGTAGTGCTTGTCCTTGTCTCCCTCCAGGCTCTTCCATAATCGTCTCACCTTTTCAGCAACCTCTTTGACAGACTGTATGCTGGTTCCATACAAATGGTTATTATACTGTCCTGCCTCAATGAACTTGTGTTCCTGAATCTCTTGCTCCATTAGCTCTCTGGAGGACATGAAGTGATAATCTCTGCCATCCACCTCGTAGTCTCTTCGTGGCCGTGTAGTGTCTGTGGATAATATGTCGAATGAAGATTCAGATGAAAAGATAATATGTATTAAGGTACACTCCATCACACATTTCTGCTCGTAACTTTCAGAATGACGATTGTATGATAAAAGATTGAGTAAATTGATCTTTCTTAATTTACTCTGGACTCTTGCAGAGTTAAAAATAAACCCCAAAATTCAGTGTGATCCTATATTTATCCTTTGGTTTTAATACATAATTTTCAAAACAAGAGATTATGAGCTGCAATGTAGTTAAAACAAATGTAAGGGAAATTAGTCTGCATTGTACAAATGATTGAACAGTTTTCACAAATATGTCTCAAGGCAAAGGTTACAATACTGCCTTCTGTGCAGTTTCACAGGAATTTATAAGATTCTGCTGGTCTTTCTCATAAAATGATAAAACTCACGTGGCACGCAGGAGCCAAACTTCTCAGGGAACTCAGAGATGAGGTCATCATTGATCCTGTCTTTCATTGGTCCAAGAATGATGACTGGCCGTGTGTAATTAACTGGAAATGGATGGAAGCAGGTTGTACAGCACATAAGGATATAATCAATTTCCATTACACTAACACAGAAACAAACCATGATATGTTGTTTTTCCTTTATATTTCAGTTAATTTAGCATTAAAGGTGAGCTGATACTACACATGCTCAATTTATATTTCACTGGTTTCCACCTTAAGTGGTCTGAAAATGACAAGTTTAACATGATTACCTTAGTTCTTGTAATTATATAAAAAAACGAATCCCAAACTAATCCCAAATTCTGAAAAACTATAATATTTAGTTTAGTGTGTGTCGTTCTCTGCAACGACTGAAAAATTGCAATAGTTAAACATTAGTTATGTTTTAACAACAACAACAAAAATGTAAAGCTGACAAATCTTTACACGGTCTCCAAGAATCAACTCAGAAAAGAGGAAGCTCAAAGAGAAGCTCAGACATCTGGTGAGCGAATTCTGTATCTGATTTTTGAACCTCACACTGTATGTGCTGATGCACAGATGTGGGTTTATAAATGAATCAAACTGAATTATACATTAGGAACTGACCTTCCTGCTGCATGACGGGTTCGTATGTGAGCAAGGCCTCCTCCAGGCCGCCTGTTCAGACAAACACAAGTGACACATTTAGAGAACCAGCGGTTGAATTACTGATGCCACACAGCAGTCTTACCCTGTTCTACCTTTGGATCAGACTTCTTCAACAGCTCTGGAAATACTAAGAGATGTAACCCGCACACAAACACCCGCATGCACATAGGATTACAACCATCACAGCACACAAGATGTGTGCATGGCACACCCTTAGGCAGACAAAGATTTGAAAGAAACAAAAAATCCAAATAATATAGAGGAATTAAAGTAAGACAGTGAGGAGAAGGAGGAGGATGAGGGGGGAAAGACAGACGAGGGTCTACACTTACAGGAACTACTTTCACTATCGCTGGTGCCAGAGGTTACCAGCTCTGGAAGGACAAGACAGGTCAGAGTCAACAACACACACACGCACGCACAAACACACACATTCTTTCCTTCCCAGATGAACACAGTTACATTAAATAAAAAAATAAAAACACAAAGCGTCCCCTTCTGTCAATGTTCTTTGTGTGCTTTCAGCTGAAGCAATCGTGAGCAGCATTATAAACAAAAAAGATGTCAAAAAACACCTGAACATGAACCACAGTATTCTAAGAAATGCCTATCTTAAGCACTTAGAGTGAACTTCTGTGCAGCAGATTTCCAAGTGTAATTAAATATTTATTAGACTTCCCTCTAATTGCCCACCCCTTCCTTACCCATCTAGCAACTTTTCTGTTAGAATATTAAAGTCCACTGAAAATGACGTGTTTTTCCAAAGACAACAGCCCTATTTCTTAAACACAGAAGTTATTATAGTATCTATCTATCTGCCTATATCAGCAATATCAGCAACACCATGACTATGAATGAAAAATATTAATAACCTTTCAGCACAAACAACATCACTCTAAAGGGTCCCACTTAAACCTATCACTAGCATTCTTTACTTTAAGTGGAAACTCTTTTGCAAACTGACTGTATAAACAAAAATATAAGCTTAACTGGAGCATTTGAATTCTGTATATTATTCCTTTTCTATACTGATGTTAGTTAATAATAACTATTATGTCATTAAATTTTCCAAGTTTGTAGAGGCTGTGATAATGTGAGATTTCTGAAAGAATTAGTTGGGATTGTAGGGACTATATTTATATATTTTGACCAGTAGATGTCAGTGATGAAGAGGATGCCTACCTTTTTCATCCTGATCCTACAGAGACAGAGAAAGAGGGGGCTGTTAATCATCTTGCTGTGTCAAAAGCACACACACACACAATCATTTTTAATTATCATTCCATTATCAAGCACAGTGGTTGATTCACACAGAGTGAAGAAAAAAAGAAAGAGTGACAGCGAGCTGACAACGCAGTGATATCAATAGCCTGTGTTAAACTCACGTCAGCCCTCATCATCACACTGTGTGAGAAGGGATTAAAATCACGCTGTTAACTTGCCTGAACTCAAAATGGAACTCTGTGAGTTCAGATATAAGTTGTCAACTTTCACATTTCATCAATTTCACATAAGTGATGTCACAAACAAGTCAAACTAAATCTCTGGCGTTCAAATTTTTATTGACCGATTAACAAATCAACGCTCTCGATGAAAAAAATTTAATCAGAAAACATCAGAGATATGTTTTGGCAGTTAATCTATTTTTCCCTGATGATTGAACTGGTGTTTCATCTGGTATTTCATACTAAACATCTTCAAATGTAAAAGGCTGCTCAGTCGGTGGAAGTGATTCTTGACATCCTGTCTTGTGACAGGAAAGACATTTTGAGTTAGATGTCCACCAACATCAGTCAGAAATGAATGACACCCAAAAAAATTTATTTTTTTTTGTATATAATGTCATTGATTATGTTTAAAATTTAATTTTAAAGTTTAATTGAAAGGGGGTTGTGCACTTGTAGCTGTGCATGTTGTGTTTAAGTTAAGAAATAATACCCACCGATCTCTCCTGAGACCTGTTCACTCTGACTGTCTTTAGCCTCGATCTCTCCTTCTTCTCTGCTCTGTGAGTTAAATAAAACAGAAAAAAAACTGATAAAGAGGACAGGACAAGATGCAACATTAACCCTAACCCATGAACCTAAGAGAACATAACTGTGCACCCAAAATGATCACATATCTAACATGAATCCTAGAGACCCAATTTTACAACTTAAATACATCCTTCAGAAAGTTGCCAGTTAACCTATTTCATCACTGATTCAGGCTTTGAATTGATCAAAGTCAACGAGCCTTATGGTCCCTCTTATTTTTAGACTGGAGGATGTGGCATCTGTTGTTTCAAAGGAGAAACTCGGATATAATTCATCTGACCACCATCAGTTTTTTTAAAACTCTGTTGGTTTTAAATACATTTTGGCCAAGAGAAGACAGCACTGTTACTGGATCATGTTCACATGCAGAATCCTTTTTGCATGATAGAGCTTCAAACCACATTTGTTGATGGCAACTGTGTTTATGGATGATGGCCCCTGGAATGATTAATGCCGTAACAATGATGTGATGGCTTTTGTAAGTTATGTATCACCTGAGGGCCACAAGATGATACGCTTCTGCTGTCAAGACATTTTCATTGACTGAGTTTAAATTTATGTGTCATTTCTGGTGCATGATCACATCCAACTTTAAAATTTCAAATAAGGTGAATCTCTGAAACGTTTCAATGAGGACTAATATATGAATTCTGGTTTAAGATTCAAATTTGTTGATAAAAAATATCCAATGCTGAGTTCACTTTCTTTGCTGGCAAAACCTTTACTGTAGCTGACTCAATTAGCTCATAATGCACCAACCACTACTCTAGTGCCTGGATTTATTATTTCCTCTCCATCAAACCACTGTGTAACAAACTCTCTCCTCATCCGTTCACTCTCTCCTCCTCAATGCTGTTGATGTTAATCCTTTCTTAGCTCTTTCAATAAATGTTGTTCAACACTTTCTCACTTTCCACATCCCCCCTGTCATGTTCATATGTGCCAGATATGGCAACTTCTCTTATTCTAAATAGTCTCCTCACACCCCAGAAATGTCACAACATCTGCCTGACACCTCTTAAATGTGGGAAAACAACAGGAGCGAGAAAGCTGAGAGGAAGAGCTACTTTTATTTGTCATCAGCTTGGGTCTTTTGATCATATGGCCAGGCTAATACTTTAGTGGTCTGTTTTTGTTGGACTAACATGCCTTGATTGTAATCAGGTAAATTTTGATCAGTTCATTTTTCAGATCATACTTTTGCGATCTGCTTAGCTAAAGACAGTTAGAGAACAAAAAATATAGAAATAAATCAAACATTTAAGGCTATATATTGACTGATCTAATTTGTGTTGTATGGCTAAACATCAATCCGTTTGCTATATCACTTAAGCAAGAGGAAGGGCTCAGGTCACTGGTCCATCACGTGTTCATGTGAATTCATGTTCACAACAGTTTTAATGTTAACCAACTTGGACTCAGTGTCTTTGGGTGGATACAAATATGTAGATGAAAGTCCGCTGAATGTGGCAGTGAGAGCGGTGTCAGCATATAGACAGATGGATTTGATTTCCTAAAGTTTAAAAAAAAAAAAAAACGCTTCCTTCAAAAACATGAGTGAATAATTAACCCTCTAATCCCATATGAAAACTTGTGAAATCTGACCTCCTGCGGCTGGGGATGACCCCAACTTCAGGGCAGTTTGGGGGCGGGGGGCTCAAGTGACGGGCAGGCCACCACTCTTCTTCACCGGCGCTGCTCACATGGAGGATATCCCCGAAATGAAACGGCAAGGCCTGATTTGTGGTGGTCAGATCTGCTGCACTTCCGTCATAATCAAACAGCGCCCTGTAGACACAGGTCATTTACACATTCAGTCAAAAAACTTAACATCAGCGCAGCATACACATATTATGGGAAACCACCACATACAGTTTCTAACTAGATATGTCATATCTAGTAATATCAAATAAGAAATATACCCAGAAATCATACACAACTATGTTATAAAACACTTCAAAAGAAATAAATTAATAGAAAGGACTAACATCTGGAGCACAAATGCGCTGAATCAGACAAAGTCAGCCTCTTTACACAATTCATTTATGACCTTGTCTGTGTTTACATGACAAAATATAAGAGCAGACAGTTGTACACGTCTGTGTATCTGTGTGCACGTCAGTCCGTTTGTGTGTCACAGTGCACGAGTGTGTGTGTTTGAACAGTGATATGTCTCTGTGTCCACAGTTTCTAACCAATCCAGAGGGAAAGGACCTGGGAAAGTAGGCCAGCAATGTGTGAGTGTGAGTGCAACGTAACTAGAGCTGAAATAACCACAGTCCCCTAAAGTCCCTCCTGTCTTCATCAATAAAATAGAATGGAGACAGAGAAGGAGGAAATGACAGTGAATCAGATCGAGAGGAATGCAGACAGGCCTACAGAGAGAGTAGGCACACACCACATCTTGTGTTACATATGCAAGACTAAGGAACTCAAAAGAAGGATATCATCACAGATCACTAAAATACTGGAAAGTGGATGATAATGTGGCCGCATAAGACTAAATATATACAAGCAGTTGAAATACAGATGCAGTCTCATTTGAATATGATTTTTGATCTAATAATGGATACAGTGATTGAGTGGGGTAGTAAAAAAAACAAAAACAGAAACAACAAGGTACTTTCATGTAAATATTTTGGTGTGATGACATATAATCTGTTTTTCTCAAAATCGTCTAAACTGTTATCCCAGCCATCTTAGGGTGAGAGGTGGGTAAACTGACCCATTGACTATTTTGAGTAACAATAGTGGTACAGGCTTGCCTGTTTCTGCTTTAAATATAGTCAGAATGTATCAAATAAGAGACAAACTAGAAGGCAACTTATCTCTAAAACAGCAGCTATAGACGTGTTTCGTTCATTCTTTATTTTAAGTTCCACATAAAACATAAAGCAGTTTGAATGTTACTTAATGAGCCAGACAGAGGTTAGTGGATGTGCCGTTACCATAAAGCTCATACATCTACCTATGGAGAGATGTGTTTATTAATCATCTTAACACACTTCCAGAGATAACTATGAAGAAAACACACATCAAATGAAAGAAAGAAGAAAGACATTTCCATAAATCCCTGATCGTTTCCCTGCCCGAGGGCTGCTCTGATGGCTGTTGTGTAAAATCATTAAGGCTACAGCTCTAAGTGTGCCTTTAATTCAATTACCTTTTATCAGTATGGCACTCATTTTAAGTCCTGAATGAAAATCTCACTGTGGTAGCCCGTGGAGAGAACACACATTAATTATAATAATGTATTGGAGACAGAAACACAATTACATGTCAAACAAGCTATTGTAAACACTGAGGTGATTTTCTGCTCAGCCAGCAGCTTTTTTTCTTAACAACAAAGCAGTTCTGCCTTAGACTGAAAGTACATAGTATGCTACTATTGCTTATGTATGCTTTATTCAAGGGGAGAAATAGTATTTTTCAGAGGTTACAAATAAGGGGTGTGTAATAGAGGACAGTCAAGCTGAAGCAAATTATTTTTTTAAATAACTCAGATAACTGCATAGACTGTATCTGTAAAACATATTCTATTAACCTTATGGACTTATTTAAAAATGTAAAGAATTCAACAGGGACAATTGCAATAATAAACGGTACATTAAGAATGTATTTACTCCCATCATTTTGAATTGTACAAATCCATCCATCCATTCTCTGCTTATTTCTAGTAGTAGTAGTAAAGCCTATTCCTGCTGACATGGGGAATAAAGCTGTGTACACACACTGGGCAGGTCTTTATTGGGAACTGCAGCAGCCCATTAAGCATGTCTTAAAGTGAATACAAAAAATTGTTGATTGTTGTAAGAATTCAGGCACCAGCATGGTGTGACTGACATCCATTCTTTTGGGACTTTCAACTTTTCTTCTCTTACATTATTTAAATAAAACCAGCCCTTATATGTTAAGTCCACTGTATTAAAGTAAATTATATACCTGAATTTGCACTTTATCCTGGTAACATATACTCTGCTGGTATCCCTGCCTCTTAAGATGAATGTTTCTGCAGCAATATATACTATTACATTTCCAAAGTGCTGAGCCAAGCAGCGTGTTTAAAATAGACCATATTGCTATGAATTTAAAGTAAGCCAGCAGAAAAGAAAGAATAAGCGTGGACAAACACGCACCTTTCACACAAAGGACAGTTAAAGACACAGTACATACACTATGTCACTTTGTATCAGTGATATTTCCAATGAGGAAGAGGAAAGGTTAACCTGTTTTGTCCATGAAGTGCAGCTGCGTACGGTATAAAAGCTCCATGCACACATGCATGAATACAGCAGCAGCCCTGAGCATCAGACACCCCCAATCTGTCATACACCAAAAACCTCAGCTCAACCAATCAGCGGCCAGTATGAGTCTTTCTGTTTTACATTTGAAATCTGATTGGATTATTTAAAGGAAACAATATGAACATCCAGGAACTATTTCTCTGTGAGGGATTCATTATATGTATTTTTGTTTCAGTATTTTTTCCTGCAGTTTTCTAACCCTTTTGCTGACTTTCACTATCTCTTTTATCTTGTTTTTTTTGGTGATGCTCATTTGACAATTCATAATAAGAAAAGTATTTAATGTTAAGTTTTAAAACCTTATTTAGATCTCCACTGCAAGTGAAATACTGAAAATACTGAGACTGATGTTACTTTGATAAGCCACAACCATTGTGTCACCGTACCGTGTTCAGCATTGTTAGCCTGAATGAAATGCCAAGACTGTTAAAGAGAAACGTCAGTTGTGTGGTGAGGCTAACCTTTCATGAACGGTCTGATATCCACAGACTTTATTGTTGGTTTTGCGTTAGTTTTTGACAGAATATCAAAATCCAGAGATTAAATTGGTGGCTGTCCAAAGTTACGCTGCTCTTGTCTATAATGAGAATGTCACACCGCATATATTTAGAAAGAGCTATTCTGCTATTCATATCATTTGACATACTGTGGCAGGTTGATATCACATGTTAAATTTAGAAACTTTTATTGAACTTTGCTTTTGGCAACATTTAACTGAAACGTCTTCTTTGACATCTGTAATTTCTATATGACTGATGCTCCGATGGCTCTGATGTGACCACTGAGGACAGAATGGCCCAGAGTGTAATCAACATTTCAAATGAATTGGTACTTGAAAGACGAAACATTAAAGTGCTGTTCGTTTGGGTCTCATACTGCTTCTGGGCTCCACAGTTGGATACACGGAATAGATGTGGTGATTCAGAGAAGACTGAGCCACCAGGACATGCAAGGATAAGAATGCCACAAGGACAGAGGGACACTTACAGCTGACAGGCGATGGAGATGTTTGTATGAGATAACAGTAGACATCTCTCTGCGATTTTGTATTTGAGAACCACTCTTCTAGCCTCTTAAACACACAAAACCGTCCCATACACCAGTGCTTTGCTGTAAATGTGTCATACCTGACATAAAGTGTGCGTTTCTGTGTGGAACGAAGTGATGTAGAACTGGAGCTGACACTGCTGGTCATCATCTGTTCCCTCAGGTCATGGATCTTTGCCTCAAAACGACTGTACTCTACACAAGGAGACACAAAAAGTGAAGAAACATTGTTAGCTGCAGTCGACAATTTTTCTCTTTTATATTTCTATGATATAGTAATATCATAGAAAGTATGAGTATTTTTCCTTCATATCACATATTCTATTAGACGGTATAAATTATTGTGATTCTAAAAGAAGTTTTCAAAGAAACTTAATTTTGATCCAATCAGCTTTCAGATATCCCTTTCCATCTTCACCCTTGTCGCACAAATGTTCACTTCAGATACCAAAAATGCTAAAATGGTCAAAATGGATGCCAAAGTGAAGGTTTCAACAGGTATTTCACAATATTAAATCTGTTCATATGGCATTTAGCGTATGACTCATATAGAAACAATCTTCTTCAGTTCTTCATAGCACTAGACTTCTACTCTCATAAAACTCCCAGCTTTAGCCAGTTGTAAAATATTTATAAAAACATGTCTTTAAAAGAGGATTATTTTTGGTAAAAACATCCTGTGATGTTAAAACTCTCTAAGTGTCATTTGATGTGATGTTTATTTCACCAAACAAAAATTTAAATATTCTTCAAAGACATCACAAAGTAGAGGATATATCCCCCCTCGATTTTTTACACCGATCACCTAATTGTTTATGGAGTTAGGCAAGGTTGCATTTAGTGGGACAAATGTAAGACCTATAAAAAATTTTGAACAAATTCTCTTTAGTAGACACTCTGGAACAAGGGCATGTTTGTCCATGGTGCAAACCATAATTCCCTTCTTCCTATCCTCTCTCACAGGACATGTCAACAATCTGTGAAAACCGCCATGCAACTAAATAATCAAACAACAGAAAGTTTCTCATTGAGTAATTTACTTAAACACTAAAGCAGTCTGTAAACCTATGTTTTTCAGACGAGTGCTGCCATTGAGAGCAGCCATTCATGTAAGTCGTTAGTGACATCTGATTTTATATCATGCTGAGGACAGAAAATGGTGGAAAATTATTGTCAACATTTCATGACTGTACATGCATAAGTATGTAGATTTTCAAATATTTTTTTGAAAAAAAAAATCATAATCATCAGAAACAATTATGCACTTGCCTCCCTTGAATGACAAGTCGCAAATTGCTTGCTAAATTAGTGGAAATTGCAATGATACACTTATAATAGCTGCTCTGTGCTTCAGCTGAGAATACCCAAGTCTCTGACCTACAAAGTGCCTCTTTGAATACAAATCTATAGTCATTGTAGATCGCAAGTTGCTTCCGATAAAAGTGTTTGCTAAATGCATCAACATAAACGCATAAACATATTGGTAGAACAATTCAATGCGGAAAGAACAATTACAATTTTGACTGCAATGAATTGATTATATTCGGTTACTTTCAGCATTAAATCAGAATACATACATCAAACCGAGAGGCTGCAGTGCACTGAACTCCAAATTCGGTCTTGAGTGTAGCATAGCAACGAGGTGTGTGATAAAATCCTTACAGGCTCTCTTTACTCTGCTTACAACCACACAGCTTCCCAGAAAACCTCTGAACAAACACATGGATGAACGAACCACTGGTAAAAAGCCAGAAAAAGCCCCTCTGAAGGATGTCTGTGTGTGTGTGGGACTAAGCGTTTACAGTGGACTACAGAATCTAATTAACCCTGAGTAATTCAATCACACTAGAGGTACACTCGGTCATGCTCTCATACACACACAACACACACCTGCAGTATCTCTTGAGTTTTTTCTTTCTTTCCCCCTATTTCTCTTCAACCTTCCTTGAATTTCAAAGACACAAAGAACTCCTCGATCTTAGCTGATCTACCATGATGTGCTTTAATCTGACATGGCACAAACAACTGAAGTGTGCTGAACAAGCGCAAACCATTGATTTATGAAGCAATCAAAGTAAGTAAAATTGATCTACATTGTGATCATTTCATGGCTAGACTCAAATAACAGAACTGCCATCAAGTTTTTGATAGAAGGAGAGAAAAATCAAAGTCACCTTGTGCTGAAAGCCATCTGAAATTGGTGGACAAAAACACGCAATGTGAACCACTGAACGCCTGAATCACCAGGTAGGAATTTTCACCTCATCAGCATCAGACTCTGTCAGCACATATCACCTCAATGCAGCGTTAAGAGCAAGAGAAGAATGAAAAAAGAGAGGAAGGCTGAGAAGAAAGAATGAGTGAAACTGAAAGAGGATGAGAGGGAGCATAAAAAGCTAAATGTGATTTACGCTCAGTGTGGTGGAGCAATAGCATCACTGATCTGCAGACATAAAACTGACATATATCAAACAATTGAAACAAAAGCAGGGAAACAAAAGCTACAGAGTTGATGTTCGTCTTTTTTATTCAAAGAACAAAGACTGAGATGTCAGAGCTGGTGAGTTCCGAGAGACAAAAGCCTGTGCTGACAAGGATAAAAAACAACTATCAATCCTGTTTAAAGACCGATACAGTTAACTTGATCTCAAAAGTCAGAACTGTCATTTTTAATGTCTTCACATTATTTTGAGCCTTCAAATCTTGTAATCCAACAAACCTTGATATTACCTAACTATTGTAACTATGTTTCTGCTCGCTTTGGAGTCAATACCATAAACATCTTCAGTTGCAAACATTTTTCCTAGAAGCTGTAATGTTGCCAGGGACAAGACGTTAACATTTTAAAGCAGCTCAGGTCCCTCTCAGCTCTACTCACACACTGCTGGCAGACATTCAGCCCAGACGTCCGTGATGTGCCGTCTTGGTGTGTGAGAGTAAGGTCTGATTCTCAAAGTCCAGACGTGTGAATGAAGGGAAAAGTAGAGATGCTGGAGACGATTTAATGCCAACTCCACCTTAGAAAGCAACACGAAAGGATCGTGCGTGGGTGTGTGCATGAGAATGCAAGTGTCCGCAAGTATGTAGTTTATGTGTGGCTCAAAGAGGGGAAAAAACACAAATGTGTGAGAGTGAAATCAGTCCAGTTCTGCTAAGCTGCCAGAGAAACAACAGATGCTACCTCCCTCTCTCTACTACAATCCTCTCTTTCTCTATCTCTGGCTCGCTGGTGTGTTCACTTTGCTCCTCCCCCTCCTTTGACAGCAGCTTGCTGTAGGGTGGAGACATGCACACTCACAAATAGACACACACAGTGTTCCCCTCAGGTCACTCATGCAGGAAGCTGAGTTGATGCCAGGCTCTCCTGCCCTACTTTGGCCTTGGGAATTGCTCGACACACCACGCACACACACACACGAACATAGCAGAGCTTGACCGGGCATTTTGAAAATTGATTTTTGGAAAGCTTAAGCAACAGCTTTAATAATGTTTTCTACATGGTTCCTCCATTCCTTTTACATGGAATCAGCAAGACATGAGCATTTACCCTCATAAGAAGTCGCAACTTGCCTGTTTCAACTGATTCTATTTCTCTCAATCTCCCGCAGAGTCTGGCTCACTTCTCAACAGTCCCAGTGATAACACACATCATTGCCAGATATGAACTTCCACCTGATCAGCATTTAACAGTTTCTGTCAACACTCATTAACTCCTCACAGCCTTAGGATATTAAGAGCAAGGGAGAAACATAAAGAAGGACAAAGAAAACAAAACATAATAGCGGGATAGAATGATGGAAAAGACAAAAACGAAGAGGAAGAGACCAGCAAAAAGAGAAGGGGGAGGGGTGAAGACAGAGACAAATGGCCCTGGGGCTCATATTCCCTGCCTCCTTCATTTACCTCTCCTCTCCTCTCCTCTCTGGGGGAGCATTGATCTTCCATTGAGCAGCTGGCTTTTCTGCATTATGTGCCCCTTCGGTACAAACCAACAGAAAACCACTGGAACTCAGAGGCTCACCTTTAGGACTCTGTACACTACACCAACAGTTTCCCTCAAGCTAATCCTTCCCTCTGCTCTGTCATCTATTTACACAGCTTTCACTTATGATAGTCTACTTAGTGTGGGACATTTTGAGAACATACACCACTGTATTTCTATCCATTATTAGCTTTACTGTAGCTTTAACATGTGAGTGGCAACTGATATAAAAGGTACTACTGATCTTCAGATATTCAGGTAGTTACAATCCAAAGCTCGTCAACAGAAAGCAAAAGGTTTGATTGACTGCAAGGGAGTCTCAAGTAGTTAACTTGATATGATTTTTCATCAGATCTGTCACTTTCAGATGACTGGTGACAAGAGCAAAGTGAAGCATACAAACTCAAATAACTAAACTTATTTACTGGGAACCATGGACTATCATGTTCAAACAGGTCCTTTTTCCACCACCAATTAGCCTCATACGACCAAGGAAAAGGTGTTTTCCTGCTGGGAAACGTATTGTATCAGAATATTCGCATTGCTTATATTCAATGACTTGGCAAATATATTTAACAAGGACCCATTACCGTAACACCCACTTAGTTCAAAACAAAACTCAACAGTACATGCTTCTTAATTTTTCCTCACTTAGGCTTCTAAAAAAAAACTTTTTTCCATTTACACAAACATTAATTACCCATATTTTCGAATCATGACTGGACATGTACAACAAGTAATTGAGAAAACAAATCATAGCTATGACAAAAATATACTTGTAGGAAACTTTGAAAACAATTTAATAAAAATGCCTCATAAAATCTTAAAAAAATTATGAGGCAGAAATCTAATTCATCCACATTCATTACTTGGTAAGTATTTTTTACAAACACAAAATGCTTGATGCACTATGTGGCCCTCTCTCCATAAATAGCAGTGCTGGCTAAGGCTCATCTATAATTTAAAGAGAACAGTATAGTAATCTATACTGGAATTGAGTAGCTCATCAGGTTGCAGGTGAGATGTAAAGAGGGTAAGGGGCAGAGAGAGGAGTAAAGCCTCTAAAGAAATCTCTTAAACAAATGTGCTGAATTCAAGATGCTATGTGCAATGTCGTTCATTTCAGGTAGCTGAGTGCCACTGTGACGAGGCGGCACGGAAAAAAATCAAATCAGTGAGTTTCCAGTTAACGCCGACGCCTGCAATCCCCCAGATCACTTTTTGTGGGTGGTGAGTCAGCCCATTACCACAGAAAGCACGAAAACTGAGGAGGGCAGGAGCTGACAGGTGGCGAGGAAGAAGTCACATGAAGGAAAAAGACAGGATCAAGTTGGAGGAGAAGGAAAAGATTGTCGTCACTGGAATGTACGCAGCAAATGTTGCTCCGACAACTTTTTTGTATGTGAAAGCCCGGCAGTAAAGCTGCTATTAATCTGCTGCATGATAACGGATGTACAAAACACACACATGAACACAGGCACACAAAGTTTAATAAGCAGGCTAACACCAGTAAAGATAATCCTCTCTGCATCACCTCAGTAATGCTGCTGACAGACACCGCCTCTCAGTGTGTGGTGTAAAAGTGTTTGTGTGTATAAAAGAAGTGTGCGCATGTGACAGTTGTGCATAATCCTAGTGACTAACCCTGCTGTGAAACAGCAGGAATTATAGACCCACATCGGGAAACTTGACGGCATAGGAGAACATCTACTCTGACATCTAGTTTTTATTAATGAACACTCAAATGTTCATCTGATCAGCACAAACAACAGATGCACTGAGTAGTGGCAGCTAACGGAGCAATGCAGAATCATTTGCTGTGTGAATAATCATGGTGACTTCAAGAATTAAGGTTCGTCATCTTAACATGACACTTGTGAGCGTAAACCAATCTTATTTTTTACACAAACTTGCAGACTGTGCAAGTGGCTCACGGTGGCTCATGGTTGCTAATTTAAGGATAAAACTGCTGACGTTACAAACTGCAACTTTAAACATTTCACCTGTCATGTCACGTGCCTTGTCTTTACAGCAAAATACTTAGAGCTGTCAGGAACAGGGAGCAAATATAAAGTGCCATTACATGTCAAAACCCTCTAATCAGAAGGGAAACCTTTGACGAATGTTCATTTGAATATCAGTAGCTTTTTTTCTCTGATACTGTTTTAAAATAAAGTTGTGGCTTAAAAGAAAACTATGAGGGAAGATTGCTACAGCGGTAAAGTCACAGTTTGAAGCCAGAAATGAAGAAACTAATAAGTTGATGTATGCTTGTCTAGACTGATTGACTCGTTAATGCTTCTCTGATGCTTATCTGTCTGTTTGACGGCGCATAAACAGCCCTGAACATGTCCCTGAAGTCTAAAGAGCTGTCCATAGTGCTGAAATTGCTGCTGGATTTAAGGCTCCAGAGTTTAGTGCAGCTTTTATCTGAAGGTGTTAGTTAGTGCATCTGTGGATGTTTTTTTTACGTTGTCTGGACACTCCTTACAGGAACCAGATAATAAAAATATTACCTAAGGCAGCTACATCTATATCAATCTGGCTTCCTTTCTTAAATGCCTGACGTCTGTAGCCTGTGAACTGTATTACCATCCATCCACTATTGTTACTGCTTATTCACTAATGGGGTCACGGGGGGACTGGAGCCTATCCCAGTAGTCAATGGGCGAGAGGCGGGGTACACCCTGGATGGTCCGCCAGTCCATCGCAGGGCCCTGTATTACTAGAAAGCTTAAGTTTATTATTAGTACATAATAGTATAAAATATTTTTAAAGACGTTTGGTTGCAGCCTCCTTGATTTCAATCTTCTTACATCCAACATTTTCCAATCCGACTATTTGTTCAAATGGCATTGAAAGCCTTCCCAAAAAAACTTGACTCACACCTACAAACAGCCTAATTCAGACAGGCACTCATTTTTGTTTCACTTGAAACCAAAATGGACCCAAATGGAATCCATAAGTTTGGGATTCCTGTCAGTTTCATGAAAAGCAAAATTTACATAGTGTATATGAAAAGACAAAAAAATTATTGAAATAAACAGTAGGTGGAGCTAAATCTCCACTCAGGTGTTGCTAAACTACAGCCAAAGAAGCGGGTGCAATGAGATGATGCCATATGTATATAATGTGTAAATATGAATGCAAAAATAAAATCAGGACTACATAAAGATATTAAGATATGTTAAGTGTGCAACAGCACTAAATAAAAAGTTGTAACATGTCTGAAATGAACTGAAATTATTTGATATGTAATTAATTCCAGCAGGCTGACTTGGCAGTGCACAAATTAATCTAATTATGATTGCTTAAAATGTAGTGACAGTTGATTGAATAACGTGAAAAACTTTTTTTCACTTGTTTTACATACAACCACAATGCATCAGAAAACACAAAAATAGATCTATACCTACTACATACGATTAAATCAACCATGGCACTTTCTCTCTATCTTTCTCTGTCTGTCACACAGAGACACACACGCGCACAAAGACACACATAGCTTCTCAGTTGTGCACTGTGTTTGGCTGCAATGGACACCATATTTAATATAAATAACAGGAGGAGACCTGAGCACACAGACACCTTTCCTATCCCGGTGGTGGTTGTTATGAGTTGCTCTCTTATTGGCAGGAAGTGTTTGTGTGAAACAGAGGGAGCACTGCGTGCAGTCGCTGCAGGAATGGGACAAACATGGACCTCAGATGTGCACACACATGCATACTGCTGACCAAAGCGCAGCATGGACAGAAGGTTTGGTACACAGTTCATTCAGCAGTCACTAACAAAGTCTGTGGAAGAGTCACGACACAGAACCATCCCAGACTAATGGATCATTTTTGGAAAACATATAATACAGAAAACAATTTACAGGGAAGTTTGTCTGTGAAACCTATTGAATTTGGTCTCAGCAAAAATCCTACAAGAACACTTTAATCCTTTATTTTTACTTTATTGTGACTGCTGCGTATCCTGACAAATTGCAGGGCCTTATCTTCTGTATGTTAATGGGATGCTGCATTTTCAAATCCATCTTTAACCCAACTATCTGAGAATCTTTAGTATTTTTCTTTGGCATATTCTGCCGGGACATCTAAAGGGCTACAGGTGCTATCCATGGTGCTGATCCTACTCTCCACACCACACGCTGAAATTCCAGATTAAAAGGACTAACACAGAATATCAGTATCATTACATTTGAATGTGTAATTTATATGTACTATGCACTACACTTGTTTTAGCAGTGCTTTGACTGAGATTAAATCAGTGTTACATTTAATGATGATTTGCTTATAAAAATATTCTCACAGAGATGAGCAGCAGCAGCGCCTAGCTCTAACAATAGGCAGTAAAACATTTTTTAAGAAAAGAAATCAGTTAATTTATTTTATGCTCTTAGCATGCTAACAATGTAATGAATGACTGCCGTACTGATGCTTCAGGATGGATTTTAAAACGTTGTTTTCTTATATTGTTTTCTTTTTTCTAGAAATGTTGCAAATTTTGGTCCTTAAAGGAAATGGCATAAAAAGATTTGTCTGAACCTAACTTTGTCTCGTGAAATGTACAATAGTAAGCAGTACATTGTGTTTGCACAGCTTTTTGGAATTCATTCCTCATTGCTTTACTAACTGAATGCAGTGTGACTTTGTATATATGATCCTGTGTGTGTGTGGGAGCTAAGTTTAGGCCACCTTAAAATGAAATCACCCCATTAGCAGGTCCCGTAGAAGCACGTAGAACCCGGTTTCCTTGGTTACAAGCTTCTCAGTTCCTCCCAGTGTACCATGAACCAGGAAGGTGTCAAACAGGCCCTATCCTGTGAGTTAGTATGTGAAGTACATCCTGTGAGGACAGACTTAAATGATACTGGAGTCTCAAACATCCTTCTGAGAGCTCCGTCTCTGTTTAAGAGTTATGGTCGGGATTAAGTTAGGGCTCTGACAAGCAATTTGTGTGATATATGTGTTTCAATCAATCACATGTGATCTCTCACTCTAGAGATTGTACCTCATGCTACATGATGGAAGAGTGTAAACAGTCAGTCATGTTGCTTTTTCTACATTCTCATGAACATTCTGTCTCCAAATGCATTTGACTTGTTCATTAAAAAAAGAGCTTAAAGTCAATAATACACTAACAGGTAATAATAAAACAAACTGTACAACCCTGATAGAAAACATCAAAAAGCATTTCAAAACATTCTTACATTTTTTTCATGAACATATCTATAAAGTATATAATGTTGATTTCTCACATTGTGTTACATTATTCATTATTTTAGTACTCACCTTCTGGTCTGTACTGTGCTACTATGGTAACGGTCTGTCCCGCATTTTTCAGGGCTGCAGCTGCCTGCTCATGCGTTGCACTGGACAGGTCCACACCGTTCACCTTAAAAAACAATCGAAAGCCATTACAGTCAAGTCTGGAGCTAATAAGCAGTAGTACATGTAAAGCATGTCTTTGAAACACACTTTAGTGTGCCATTATCTAAAAAATGAAGCATTTGTTTAATTTCTGAATCCATCATTCATGAGTAAAGTAATCTTGTCTGCACTTTCAAGCGTAAATAAATAATACACTAATTCTAAATTGACTCTCTGTGGTCTGAGGATTATATTCAGCTTGAATCCCCTCCAGTCCTATCCATTGAAACTTAAAGTTTTGTTGTAGAGCAGAAAATAGTTAAGAAGCACAGAATGCAGACTTAACAAACATATCCTCTGTCAACCATCTCTGGCTGCTAGCCGACTGGTAACATGCAAAGAAAAAAAACTATGAAAAAGGTCCATTAAACCTTTCATTTTTAAATTGCCTTATACTGCAAATCATTAAAATGATTTAGACTGCAAGTTAAAAATGTTAGGCTTCAACAGGGGTCTCACATTTACCGCCCTCCGTCATTATTTTAAAGATTTATCACACAGATTACAGGGAGAAAACATATCTGACCGTATAACTCCCCCCATGAGGCCCTATATCTAAGCCAGGCAGAAATAGCAGAAAAAGCTCATACCGACAAGATGCGGTCTCCCTTTCTAAGTTCTCCACAGAGATCAGCTGGACCCCCAGCAAGTATGAATGAGATAAAGATTCCCTCTCCATCCTCCCCTCCAACGATGTTGAATCCAAGACCTGTAGAGCCCCTTTGCAGAACCACTCGTCTGGGTTCTCTGAAAAAACAAAAAACAAACAAGCAATCACTGCAGAGGGGGAAAAATGATGATCATAAGGCAGTTACAGTTAAAGAACACCACATCAAAAACCAGACAACCCAAAAAACATTGCTATTTTCTTGAGTAGTACTGTATGCATCACTGTATGTGGTGAATGATTTAGTCGATTTCAGTGGGGTTACAGGCAATTTCTCAGTTAGATTATTTAACAAATTCACCAGCAGATGTCAGTATTGTCCCTTCTCAGTGGAGAGGCACCACAATTTTAGTTCACACCAACAACTGAAAGTGTTGATTATGAGACACACATTTTTAATGTATTTAATTATATGACTCATTTAAATTTTCACAGAGATGTAACATATTATGAAAATAAAAACAAAAATGTTCCCTTTGTGTTTGTTACTGGTTCAGAATATTTCCTTAGCATTTGACTAAAAAGGTTTATACTGGTATCAAGTAATTGAGAGGAGACAGTCACACCAAACAATGTTTTATATAGCTGTAATTTAATTCTGATTTAGGTGGGCTGGTAACTCTAGATCCACATGAAACCCAAGCTTCCATGAAGAATACTATGTCAATATCAATTTCAGAAAAAATATAACTGGTAAATGGTTTTAGCAAATATTCCAAGGGTGCTGGATCTTCTATTTATGTAGCAAAACTGAATTACTGTATTCCTTAATCAGATATAACACCCTAAAATGCATGAAATGGGTCAACGGATGTCAAAAGCTTAGCACAAAAATACATTTAAGAAATGGGCGTTCACTCAGTGACTATTTATTACTCCTATGTTGCATGACTAATCAGCAAGAGAATGATGAAAGAATTGGAAAAAAAGAAGGGCAGACGTCAAAATGACCATCCTGCTGTCCACCAGAGGCTTATCAGATTTATTATAATCAAAGCCCCCTCATTGGCCAAAAGGTCTCTGACGAAATCAGTCATATTCTGGTAACCAGGGTGATGCCAGTCAAGTGACGAGGGTTGTTAGAGGCAGTAATCCCTCCATTAAAATGGATTAAAGACAGTTGAACAGCACTGAGTGTATCTGCACATGATTGTGTATGTGCATATGTGACCTGAGTTTACATGGCCAGCAAACTTCATGCAACCATCTGCCTTTTGTCTACCAGAAGCCCACTCATATAAAAGCTACCTCACAGCTGCAAAAAAGGAAGAGGAAATTCAGCATATAATGTAACTTCCACAACTCATATTACAGTATTCAGTGATTTTGTAAAACAGCATTTAGGACCTTTTTGAGGGTCAATAAATGCCTCTGAGAAAAAACATGAAACATGCTTTGAAGGAAGCAGCAAAGAACATTATTGAAGAAAAATTTGTATTATATTATATGCATATTATATGCCAAACTAACAGAATCTCCTTGATAAATTAAACAATTCATTTGGGCACATAATAAATATTCCTTTAAATTAAACTGTTCAAAATAACGTATAAATATCTTGTCAAATATCTGAAAAATATAGGAAACTTGGTATATAGGAAACAACTGAGTTCTCACCTGGGGACATCCTCATCTCCAGTCATTGTCCTGGGCAACGGCGAGTATCGTGGAGTGGTCAGAGGGGCGGGGCTTACAGACTGGCTGCCACTCAGGTAGGGGCTTATATGGTTGTCCTGGTGTGGGGAGTATGCTATACAATCAAAGAAACAACATGTTATTCTTCACGTTTTATCCTAAATATATTTCCTTTCAAAAAAGAAATGGGTAATCCATGAGTATCCTGCGTTGTAAAAATCATTAGAGTAAAACTGTTTTTGGCTGAGAGAAACTTCTACACCTATTCAAACTCAATATCAAATTAATCAATGTTTACACTGTTCCAAAGTGTTGAAGCGAGTTTTATAAAAAACATTTTTCACAGATCTTATAAAATTACCTTAATCACATGTTTTAGAGATATGCCCTCTGAAAGAAAACTGACTGAAAATAACTAGTGACTCAAAACTCACTTTATGACTAAAAAGATAAGAGGAATAAATGTTAAACATATTCAAAATGTTACCATTTATAAGTTACTTGAATAGATTCTAAACCTTTCAGACCATATGTTTCTTAAAAAGTAAATCTAACATTCTGATTAAACTTAAATCCTTACATCTTCATTAAGGGTCATAGCATTAAAGGGACAGAATGTTAATTCTACTTGAAAATTTTCTGTATCTGATGTGCAGTGGGATGTGTGTGTGCTTAAGCTGTAGTGTTTTTTATAGCCCTTCACAGTGCGTATTGTAAATTAAATAACTTGAAAATGTTCTTAAAGAATAACATATTACTCCAAATTTACTACAATTGAAGCACATCATCAAATGTATAGTTTCTGCGTTTGATTTCAGATGCCAGGCTCATCACTGTCATCCTCAAATGTCCTTAAATTCAATGACGGCAATGAAAAGGTGCTACCTCTTGAACTGGACCATGGCTTAAAGAATCCATGTGAATAAAAAATAATCTGATCAAATAGCATGCACAAAAGAGCTGTCAGGTTTGTACTCACAATTCGTTACATCAGGTGGAGGAAAGTTGTCATTGATGAAAAGGGAACTTTGTTTGGCTACACGGAGGTACACAACATCAGGAGTGGACTTCAGTGCAGCAACTGCCTCCTCATGAGTCACCTCCTCCAAACAGGCGCCATTTACCTAGGTAAAAGAGTAAGTACACTAGATTGATTCTAAATATTATGATGCAGCAAAAACACATTGTCAAGCAGCTTTGCAGGGTGTTCATATTTACCATAGTTATGGTATACCATAGTTATTTTTTATAATGCACACTCGAGGGGGGGCAGCAGTGGTTTTGGTACCACTAACAGTCATTAAGACATCATGTACTGCATATGCAACTGTATTAAGGCACTTGCTGCTAAGCAACATTTTCTTAACACAAAAAATTCAAGAATTTGACAAACAAAACCAAAATGCCAGTTCATGTGTGTGAAAGAGCACACTATGGCCTTGTAAGTAAACTTTTAACAGTGATCCACAATAAATACCTGTAAATGGGGCTTTTTGATTAAACAAGACAGAGAATTGAGATGTTTCTTACAGCAACAAGTTTGTCCCCTATTTGTAGCCGTCCATCCTTGTGAGCAGCACCTCCCTCGATAACTTTAGTCACATAGATGCTGTTGTCACCAGGGACATGCTGGTTTCCAACTCCACCTGCTATACTGAATCCCAAGCCTGAAAGAAAAAAAATAGGATTGATTTTGGTTTCTTCTGGTCCTTTAATTGCTTGACTTCATCATTCATCTCTGATCCCCTCTTATTTATTTCAATATACAGTATATTTGGTGTTTAAACATGTCAGATATGACACAATTCAGACAAAGAAGTCAACACTAAACCTGATAACATTTTAAATCCCATGTGCAGATGCATTACCAAAAAACCCAAAAGCCCCACTTTCTCACCTTTGGGCCCTTTTACCAGTTTGATATCCATGACTCTCTCAGCAAGGCTTCTTCTGCGTCTTATACAAAGTCGGACCAGACCTCCAGCCTCCTTCAGCGCCTCCACAGCTCCGCTGTGAGTCACCTCCCTTACATCTGTCTCGTTCACCCGCACTATGCAGTCATTCACCCTGCACAGTAACATCATAGTCTGTACAGATGTTTCTTGACAAGTAAGTGGAGATAAATGAGGACACAAGACATTCCCCTTGTAACCCCATTTGGGAATAAGCGTTTCAGAAAATGAATGGATGGATATTTGTTAGCAACTCATAATCAGATTTAACAAAAACAAGTGTTTGTGTTTGTACCTGAGTCGTCCATTCTGTGCTGCTGCTCCTCCTGGTATAATCTTGGTAATGAAGATGGAGGGGTCCTCGCCAATGTGTGGGTTATCAGTTCCTCCAGCAATACTGAATCCCAGGCCTGAGTTACCCTAAGCAGACACACAGACACATGGTTCTTATGCATATCTTTACATATATATGCTAAAATTAAAAGCAGAATAAATATCCCCTGAGCATTATTGTGGGTTTGAAAATCTGAATTGTGAATTTGAGGCTGCTTTCAGTCCAGACAGTCCATAAATGAGTGCACCAAAACACTGTTTGCAAATGTTACCCAGAATTATTTTTCAGTTACAAAGCTCATGCTTCACCTAAGGGACTGAAGTAGGCTTCACCTAAGGGAGTTGATTCTGTCCCGAAGGACACAGGAGCTCTATAACTGCCTGAGAGGCTTCATTTGAGTTTTTTCTTTCTCTCTATGGCCCATATATCGATGAAACACATTTGCATTATATTTGTCAATGTGGTAGCTTGACAAACTCAGGAAAAAAACTGGTTCCTCATAGTCCACGATTGTTTTAACAAAATCATCCTCTATATAGGAGGAGGGCCTTAGAGAGAAAAAGAGAAGCTAAAACAAAATCTGAAGAATTTAACACATAATAGAGACTCTAAGTGTGTACATGAGATCCTGTTAATTATACAGGAGAAATGTATCAGCAATATTAAAAAATTCCTGTTGCCAAAACCTCACACGTTATTAATACTCTCTGATGTTGCTTAAACTATACTAAATATAATTTCTCCAAATCTCTGTGATTACATACATACATACATACATACATACATACATACATACATACATAC